TGGGGCGATACCCCAAGCCGGTAGGTTGCGGCAATGCCGACTCGCGGTTACCTCACCTTGCCTCCGAGTGGAGAGTGCGCCTGACGCGGCATGACAGCGGTCGCCCATGGATGGTTCACTCCGACTAAAGGATACACGTTATGGGCCTGGGTAATCATCAGTACAGGCACCACTTTCAGTTAGTAGAACGCTCCCCTTTTAAACTTAATGTGGGCTAGTCAACCGGTCCGCCGCTCATGTGCGATTTTCTCCTGTCAGTCAAGGCCTCCCATTGTGGTGTGTCCCATCGGGGGAATGGGGGGGGGTTCCCTTCCTTTTTTTTCTTTTCATCTTCTCCCCTCCTTCCCCGCCCATTTGTCTACCTACTCTCTTTCCTTTATTTGCTCCTTCCCTCTCCTAGGTACTCCTCATCCTCTGTTCGAACCTCGTTCGTTCGGGGAAGGTACGTAGTACAGACCATGGTGGTACAAAGTGGGTCTTTCGAAGTTTAGAGCTATGAGAGGTCCACCAGTCCGTCCAGCCAGTCAGTGCGTGTCGCTCACAGTGCACCCTCTGCTCAGGTATCCCTGTCCATAGGTACGTGCCTTGAGGTCTTGGTGGGGGCAAGGAAAGGACGGGTGAGCCACTGAACGCTCGGCCACCGGCCCACTGCCCAAGATGGGACGACGTTGTTTCCTTCCTTACCCTTTGGCGTTCCGTACCCGTCCATGTGTAAGGTTTCCTGTCATATTGCCTGTCCATCTGCCTCGGGATACAACGCACTTGTGGAAGAGACACGGCAGGCGGGAGGCAGTATCGATACATCAGTAATATCACTCTTCCAGCCCACCCGGCCAGCCGTCAAATTGTTACTATGCCATATACCATCTTATCACACACATCGTCATGTTTGCCAATTCGACGTCTAGCTCTCGTCTCGTCCTAACAAGGCACTGCTACACTACAGTACCCGTCGCTTACACTGGCAACGGTCCATCTATCATCTGGTCTCTTGCCTGCGTCTTGTCAACTAAAGCCCTTGCTAGGGCGTTGGTAAGTGTGGGTGATGGAAGAGGAGTCTACTGCCGCCCCTTGTACTACCGCTCGCAAGGCCATGCCTTTCAGGCTTGGGCTGCCCGACCTCAGCTGCCTGCATCTCAATCTCATCCGTCTTCACACAGTCAATGTGTTGAGCCCGGCAAGGATGCTAAAACTCCGTCCAGCCTTGGGATATATCCCTCCGTCTTGGACCACGGCTCCAGTGAGCATGGCACCTAATAGTTCGTGGGTGCCCGCGTGTCGTGTGGGTGGTAATCTCAGCGCAAAGCAGGTCCTGATGCCAGCTCATTGGCGCGCAATTCTTGTTTCCAAAGCCCTACTCAGCCTCTCCTGATTATTGATCGTCCAAGCAACCGTTTCTGTAACATTTCGCTTTTGGCCTTTCTTTTCCTTCGGCCATCTGTTCCACGCCCGCAGGCTGTCGTCACGTTTCCTGGGTGATACAGAATCGGAGTGTCCTACAGAATCTCACTATCCGCACCACCGGGCCACCCACCCAGAAAGCTGTCAGGATCAGCTCTGCCGCCCTTGGTTAAAAGCAGGGCGGTGCGCGGACGCCAAAGTATTGGTTGATGTGACTGGTTAGTGGCCGTTCGCCTACCAGCATCGAGCGGCCGAGACAAGAGGGAAAGCGAAGGCGAGGCTGGGCCTAGACAACGCGCTACAGGACGAGACGAGACGAGACGAGACGGAACCGAATCAGCACCTAACTAGTGCCTGTGTGTGGCTTGCTCCATTCCCGTCAAGACCGTCTTCCAGATGGCCCGTCGTTTCTCGCCCATGCGACAACGGAGACAAAACGGAGCCAGTGGCTTCTTCTAGCTCCTCTACATATCCCTAGCCGTGGCGTCTTTGAAGGCCTAGTTGGATATCAATCGTTGTCAGAGACTCTGATGGGGGTTTTTTTTTTTTTTTTTGGTCGAAAAACACTCGCACCGTCGACAACCATCGCCCAGGAATCCCATAACTCCGTTTCGTTGCACTTGCAATTTACTTTGTCTTCGACATTCTGCTCACGCCGGCTGCGAGGGCCAAGTCAAATCAATCACTCCATGCTTCTGTTCCTATCTCACCCCCTGCAAATATCATGACGCTTCACGCATAAAACTACCGTCGGTATGTTTCGTTGGATGGGCCCGTTACGTGTCAAGCCTATCAGGCCTGCGGTTACTGCCGGCGCTTTTTTTCCGACAGACAACTCAACCATGGGAATCTGGGCCTAGTTCTCTTCACCTTGTGCCATCAACCAAAGGCAAGACAGCCTACGAACTTCTTACTCCTTTTCGTCTGTCCCGGGCGATTACATGGTGTTAGTACTGCTCAAACCCCCATGTCATTCTTTGCCAGGCTGTTAGCACACGACCCCCAGTCCGACTTGGATTCGACCATATGCCCACCACACACCACACGCCCCAGAAGCAGGTGGAACACCCCCCTCCTTCTCAAATATCCTTGCCGGTACTTACATAGTACCCGCTGCCTTTGCCTGCAGCTTTTACATATGTGCAATACGGCCCACCACCACCCACACAACCCTCATCCTTCCGTGTGCTTGGTAGTATTACTATCTGAGAAGCCCGCCTACCCCAACCCCGACCTGCCAGTTCTGTCTTCAAGCCTTGCCTCATGCACCGCGGCGTCTGACCCTCGTAGCGTACTACTATCTGCTCTTCTCATCCTACTGGCCCAATTCGACTCTCCGGTACTGCCAGGCTCGTCCTTCTCCGCCCTTCACTGGTCACCAGAACAATCACACAAGCCTTTCTTTCCGGCATCAGCGTTTTCACCGAGCAAACATCTTTCTTTCCTCGCACCTCTTCAACCCCTTTCCTCACAGGTTGATCCAACGTCAAGAAACGGATTGCCCAAGCAACTCAGCCGCCTATTGTCTTGGTGCCAATTAACATCACAAGAGACACCTGGGTCAGAGGCTATAGGCGAGTCGGGCTGCCTTGATACAGTACCGGATCAACTGCGTGGCTACTCGATGAGGTGACTGTCGCACCAGCATTTTAAGCACGCGCTCGAAACCAAACCCCAGAACCTGTATTTAGGCCCGGCTCTTCTCGTCTAAAGGACCTGCGGGAAGAGATACGATCAGGCGATTCGACTCAAAGACGATATCCCCCCTCCACCCCTGGTTCCCCAATCGCTCTTCTGCAGCCTGCAACGCACCTCCGTCCAAGTCACTCTAAGCTCCAGGGCTTCTTAACCTACAGAGCAGACCGCCTGCACGCCGCGCCTTCAGACCAATTGGCCCTTTCTATCATGCATGTCGTTTCTTGTTCATGAAACTAAGCCCGACCAATATCTGTCGGGAACAGGAATCCCCACACTGGTGTCGTCCATCCCATCAGTCAAGGTAGATTTTCCGGCACGATCCCTCCTCGCCATCACCAACCTGGGACCTGGTTTCGACGACGACTGGTCAGCCAGATATTGCCGCTTGCAGACTACCCACTTGACTTACTGGGCTTCGATTCAAGCCAAAGAGAGTGATATAATAAAGCAATGAACCACTCCATCGTGGGCACTGCCACCATGGACCAGAACAACCACCTGGCTCAGGACGAAGACAGCCACATGGCTCACAATCACGCATCCTTCAGCAACGAGGGCTGGGGAGACATGAGCCCGTACGGCCATCAGAATAGCCTCTCCGATTATGGAGGTTTCGCTTTCATGCCGACAGTCACTCATGGCTTGCCGTCCGAATCAATCGGCAGGATGCCTCCTCCACCAGCTCCAGTCCAGTCGATGCAGTCACACCAACAACAGTCTCATGCGCAACTTCCGATGCTCATGATACCTTCTCAGCCAACGTGGCCCAGTATGCTGACGAACCCCAACAGCTACTCGGCACCGCCCTTGGGGATGGCACCGGTAGTTGCTCCGGCGCCCTCCAGATCGACACGATTATCCAACGGCCCACAGCCTCAGCAGCGTAGGGTTTTGACCGACGACGACCGAAAAAAGATGTGCCAGTATGCTGCTGAGCATCCCAATGTGAAGCAGACGGATATCGGTGCCATGTTCGGCGTCGAAAGAAGGTAGGTTTGTGCAACAGAATGCATGATGGAAGCAGTGGTTCTCTAACATTGGTCTCCCAGCACCGTATCCAAAGTCCTACGGAACAAAGAAAAGTATCTTAACCCAGAGGCAGACAGGAGCCAGTCTCCTGCTGGGAGGCGGCACAACAAGGGCAAGTTTCCGGACATTGACCGAGCTGTTGCCGCGTGGGTCAGGAGACAGCAGCAAGTTGGGTTGACCCCGAGTGACGACGAGATTCTTGATCAAGCGAAGCACTTTTCCCGCACTACCAACGGCGCTGAAGCCAGCCAGATGAAGTCCATCAACACCACTTGGCTTGAGCGGTTCAAACAGAGGAACATTTTGGTTTCAGGAAAGCTCTTACGCCGGGCATCGGAGACGAACATCACAGACCACGTGAAGCTCTCTGGCTCTCCATCACTTGGGGCATCTGCTATGTCGCCGACATCCCCGACAGGACACCCGTCTCCGCTGTCAGCCGATAGAAGCGATGAGGACGTCGTGCACGGGCTTGGGTTTGTCGGTTACGGGGAAGGCAACCCGTACAAACACCCCAACTCGCAAAGCACGTCATCTCTCAACAGTGCCTTGACAGACGCAGGTAACTCGTCCTTCTCCGGGAGCGCCATGAGCCCGACGGCAACTTTCACATTCTCCCCTGACCCCAACACTGGTCAGTTTATCTCGAACGACCCATCCCGTCAACTACACGGAGGAGCCGCCTCGAACTTCCAGAGACCGAGAAGCCAGACTTTCCCGACTCTTGACATTGAGTACATGAATCAGACCGAGGCAACAGAGTCTATGACTCCGAAGTACCATCCTGCGTCCACGGCACCGTCTTCCGCGTTGGATTCCCCTGTTCATGAAATGACAGTGCCGCATTTTGGTCTGGATACTGCTATTACCTCTTCGCCTCATTTGCACCACAGCAGCAGTAACGGCAGTATTGCTGGGCGATCAGCCGCAACTCCTGCGGGATCTTCTCCGACGTCGCCTACTCAGGAGGATGCTCGCAAGGCAGCGGATACTCTACTGAGCTACATTCAGAACAATAGTGGAGGAGCGCTGCTGGATCAAACGGAGTACATGATGATGATAAGGCTAACGGAAAAGCTTCGACTGCAGCAGCATCAGCTTGTTAAGTCTGGCGCGCCTCAGCCATTGGGTATTTTGGATCGAATCCCCGAGGGAGATACTGAGATGTCACCGCAACATCCTCCCCCGATGTCTCTCGAAATCAAATCCGAACCGGTCCGGACGTAGGAATCACAACTTCGCCGCTTTTCCGGATGGCTCTACACAGGCAAACCCATATCGGTTCGACTACCGGTGGCCCTTTTCTCCACAGAAATATCTTTTTGCTTTATAGGCGTTCGCTTGCTTTCATTTCGGACTGGATTTGGGAACAACCACTTCGCCCATGCATGTGTGGGCAACGACAACAGGACGACGAAACATCATCTTGGTCTCACCAATCTCTAGAATCGGCGAGAGTTCTGCGAAGAACGCAACCACCTTGCCGTGACCAGGTTTCGGTTTCGGGAAAAAGAAGAAGAAAAAAACATACCATCAGCGTTACCTCTCACAGGGTATAAAAAAAGCCCCAGGCATACAAGGTTTCAGTCTCACGACAATTTCCAGGCCTCGCTCGATGTATATCGAGGCCAATCCTTTTTTTGGAACTTCACGATGACGAGTTCGAGCGCCTCATCCCCCCGGTTCCCAGTCTCACGACACTGGAATATGGCAGAAATATACCTTATCGTTACAGAACCGGGAAAGAGTGTACTAGACGACGTCTGCGCAGCTGACATTTTTTCTTGTCATTTTCACACTCAGAACAGCTTTACCATGCTCGACGCCACAATCAACCTATTCATATACCCAAATCACACAACCGTCCCCTAATGGGAAGAACTTTCCGCTCACGCGAAGACCGAAATTCCCCATTGCGCGACTGCTTCAGCCATGACCCTTATCCCTTGAAGCCTTTTCATAGCTTCATTGACGAGAACCTTTGGAAGTTTTTCTATCGCCTCATGTTTGGACTTTCATTCAAATTCTTCACTGTACTATCTTTCTTTCACGCTCTCTGCATTGGAAGATGGGGTTCTCTTCTACTCCTATTTCGGTGTTTTCTTTTTTCTTTTGGCCCTCTATCTTGATTAGGGGCTGATCAGCATGGCGTGGGTGGTTATGGGCAAGACTAGGAAGCAGAGGTGTTCCGGTGATGGTCTTCGTCACGGGCAGGTACGGGCCTGGGTTATCATAATCGATCAGCGGCTCAGGACAGTGCCGGGATGGAGGGCAGGGCAGCGAGAAACACAGCATCACGTTCGTGGGTGGGAAGGGCCAGAGGATGATGGGGATACGATGTTGAACAAAGAGGGGTGAGAGGCATCTCGCCCCCCGAGTCGCAGTCAAGACGGCAAAGGGGACCGACCACCTTTCCCTTCGCTCGGCCGATGCAGACAGACTCGCGTTGCCCCGGCCAGAGAACGCGTGGGAAACCAAGAAGAAAAACCGGGCGGCCCCTTTATTGCATTTCATTTCCAGGGGATTAGCCCCCTTTTCCCTCTTCCCAAATCCCAACTGGTCCGCAAAGCACACGAACTAAATACGCTGTTTCTCTCTCTTTCCATCGCCTCACTATGCACGCACCAAATCATGTGAAAGATCATAAGAGAAAGAATACTACGTTGCAGGCGTCTCCGACAGAAAGGGTATCTAAAACACGAGAAATGAACGATCGTAGAAAAAAAGGGGGGGACAGCACTGTAAGGATCCATCATAGGCTCAGACGCTCCTCCCAGAGCTCGGTGACACCCTTCTCTGCCAGCTCCGGCATCAACCTCACCAGGATCAGCTCCAGGATGCTGTACACGAGGTGCTTGTTGCAGTACTCGTCCGAAAAGACATCAAGAATTCCCTCCTCGATTTCGGAGAGCATCTGCTGCTGGCCAACGTCCTCATCGCTTCCATCACTGCTATTGTCGTTGCCACTATTGGCAATGGCGTCGGCCTCTTTGCCGCCACCGTCAACCTTGCTGAGGCCATCGGCCTCATTCTCACTCAAGGCAGGCTTTGAGGCCGGACCGGACCGCCACCGGAGGCCAAGGCCTCGCCCGCCCAGGTACAGGTTGGCCAACCATGGCGGGATTTTGGCCTGGATGGCGCTAGCGCACCTGCGCCGCAGAGCACGCAGTTCGTTGTCGGAGGAGGGGGCCACCATTGTCGAGACACCCGGGGCGTTGTTAGGGAAGAGGGCAGCGCGGATGGAACGGAGAAGGCCCGGCAGGTATGCAGCGTCGAGGCGTTGGTGGATGGTGTGCGAAATAAGCCTGTATTTCGACGCGGCAAGCGCTCTTTGTCAGTCCTGGGCATACTTCCGACTCAGAGTCACAACGCTCAGTGTGTGGGGGTCGCAGGGCCTTCCATGTGTGGACTGACAAAGGGAAGCAACGATCTGCGGGAGGGGAAATGGGGCAAAGGGGGCTAGAAAGCAGGAGATAGGACGACACAAGAAAGGAATGGGCACGGCTGGGCAATGGTAACACGAGAAGCGGGACAAGGGTTAGCCACCACCGATGATGGGCTGGCGGCAAGTCTCATGCAGAGCCAGTCGAAGATATTGCCTCCAGGTTTGGTATACGAAGACGCAGGCGAAGCATTCGCAACCCAGATAGAAGGAAGCCTCGATATCTCGTAGTCGCTCCTAAAAACGGCCTGTTGAAAAGTCTGCGCGCATTGTGCGTGTGGTTGTCTTCGCAATAGGAGATGGTGTGTAACATGCCAGCCTGGGGTGCACCTCGTCTTTTCGGAACGAGCCAACCCAAGCTTCGCATAGGATCATGGGGGACATCCAGGCATTTAACCGCCGGGGGAGGGCAACCTATCAGCCCGGGGTTTTCGGGACGGGTCGAGTCACTGTTTGTGATCGAGACCGTGCCGCCGCATCGATCCAAGGCGTCGACAGGCGGTCAGGGACGAGGAGCCCTTGACAAGCCGCCTCATGAGCTGGATCTTGACAGTGGTCTTAGAAGTAAGACTCTGAACCGGACATGCGTTCCCAATTCCACAACCAGAATGGGATGGCAGTGGGGCGAAGAGAGGCGAAGGCCGACGGTTAAAGTGCCCGGGATGGCGTCTACGCAGGCGAACGCGGGTGAAGAGATGACGGTGATGAGAGAACCCCTGCAAAGTAATGTTCTTTGCTGGACCTGGGCGCGTAAATGAGGCTTGCTGGTGGATGGGAGCGCGGCCCCGCGAGCCCTATCAAGCAAATCGGAGGCGAGCAACATCGAAACGTGCTGCGATTGGCTGGAGGCCACGAGGTCCAGGGAATGCAACTGCATGTTTCGAGGAATCGGGGAGAGAGGTTAAGTCAGGGTTGGGTCGCAGAATGGGCCGGGAGGGAGTGTGTCGCACAGCATATCTCGGCCTTTTCGCGCGGTCCTACAAGACTCGACCACATTGTTACGTGCACCCCAAGCCGTGCGGTTGGAAGCCGTAACAACCCTCATCAACAAATCCACTCAATATGCAGCCCACTAGACCATCATGAAAGCGGATGTCTCGTCTCACGCACTTGCCTGACGTGGTGTTTCTAGCCGCCCACTGGAGCTGGCCCGAGGTCCAGTGACTCGAACCTCATGCGGTGTGACGCGATTGTTCCATAAAGGGGAGGGACAAAGTGAAGGGCAGTTGCCTACCTGTCCATGGCTCCGTTGACACCAGCAACACGGCCTGGGCCTTTCATGGCTCCAAGCTGTAGCAGTGACAGCATTCCGCTCAACCAAGGCATGCGGGTGTCCATTTCGATCAAGTCCGATATGCATGTCCACAGCTTGAAGGCGGCGATAGGCGTCTTTACTGGTCGCGCCTCGTTCGAACTAATGGCAGGATTCGACATTTTCGGATTCGATATTTGACCAGTCATCTCATGTTTCTCATTCAGGTCGCGGTCCGACCGCGGAGGCAAGGATGAGGACATAGCGAGAGTGACTATGAGCAGACGGATAGATGTGAAGGCGAGGAATATCCATTGTACAAACGACCAGAACGCCCCCTGAATGGACCAGCTGCGACGGACCGGTCTAGGGGCCGCGGATGTTGACCCGGCCGGGGCAGAACCGGCAACCCCTCCTTCGATAGGTTCTGGTTCCTTCTTTTCAAGGACTCGAGTGAGGATGATGATACATTCGTAAATGAGCCACGGTTGCGAAAGTCGATTGGCGAGGACGTTGCCGATAATCAGCTCGGAAAAGATTTGGCCGACTAAGGAGGTTAGGCAGTCGTTTTCGAGATCTTCGGTTGGCAGGAGAACGGCCAATACGCCCTGAACCAATAGCTGACGGTAGATCGCCTCGTTTCCCTGCTGAGTCGCGACAGACGAAGGGTCTTCTGGACGAGGTATGGGCGACAAAGGGGCCAGAGGGCAAAGCGAGTGGTACACGTCTCGAGGGTCTACCTCTGTTGGAGGCTTAGAAACGGGATCATGCGCCGCGCGATATGCTGTTGGGCCGATTATCAGCGAGAAGTATTGGGAGGACTGTGTATGATCATCCCACCTAAAATGTGTCTGTCCACCAAATCGGGTAGCTCATCGAACAAAAGGCTTTCCAAATCGACCTTTCGTAGTCGTTGCTCCAAAGCTCTCGTGCAATGGGCAATTATTTGGACGACTTCGTCGACAAAGGTGTCGTCAGGAGTGATTTTGCTATACCATACTTGAACATATTCCCTTATTATGACCGAAATAAGTGCATATAGCTGCAGATCAACATCGTTGCGGCTGGTCAAGGGAGGAAGCAGTTCTTCGATGGGGGCAGGGGTTGCCCTCCCTCTTTCAGCCAGATGCTTGGAGCATAGAACGCGACGGATGAAGGCAGCGGTTGCTTTATCGGAGAGGAAGTCTGTCGGCGTAGACCGAGCGGAGCGGCGAACGGAATGGTTGGCTTGCAGCGGAGGACGGGATCGGTCGGTGCCGGGGGTAGGCAGAGGTGTAGGGATATCGGTCGTGAAGCTGACTGTCGCGGGGCCCTTGGGGCGCGGCGTCGAAGCGCGAGGGGTGGCGACAGCTGCCATGGCCGTCTATGTTTGTCGCAACCGCAATCTCATGGTCTGCCGAAGGTGGGGTTGGGCGCGTATGGCCCTTTGGCGGTGATGGTGGTTAAATAAAGAGCTGTCGTCGACTTTGGCTTGCAGCAAGAATTCGGACGACGCTGATCTGTGAGGTGGGCGAGTGATGGCGGGCGGGAAACTGGGGACCTTCCCCCCGGCACCGGTCAGGTTGCAGGGAGGGGCTGGTCTCCCGTTGCAGTTGCCTCAACGGCCATGGTCCTGTGCGCTGCAGCCCCCCTTCTTGTAGAACCTTAGACAGACTTACATAAGGCGCCTATCGGAGTACCTAGCCTGCATCTGCATATGACGCGCTGGCACTTATCCCAGTCGAAGATTTAACAACGCATGCGTTTGTCTTGCCAATGCGAGTCAGATTCACATGAAGCAGACATAAATCCATTCAACCTTAAACTCCAGGTATTAAGAACACATGTCTTGGCCAACTAGTGATTTTAACCACCTACCTACCTACCTAGGCAGTGGATGATGGAAGCAACTCGGTTTTGCGCACTTAGTGTATCCGTACAGTGCTTCTAAAGAAAGCAAGCATGTTCTCTTGATTTGCGCAGAACACACACAACGAATGATACGAGTCGACGTGGTCTTTATTTTATTTTTTCCATCTCCTGTTGTACAATGCACATGCCGGTAAAGAGTATAGTACACTTATTCTCAGGGCCCTGTATCAGGCCAGGCAACGTCCCTGCTTCATGATTCCGGTGAATACAGCTGCCACCTATTCGTCGTCCTTCTTGGTCGTCTCGTATCTATTGCAAGTCAGCACTGAGTCATATCGCTGTCATATTTGCATTGCGTACCTCTTTCCACGGAACGCCCATACTCCCCAGTTTCCACAACTGACATCCTGAGGATCCAGATCGTTCATGTCCCACCTCAAGCTGCGGAAGAGGTTTTCACCGGGCTCCAGCAGCACATCGAACTCGCCGGCGGCCGTCTTGCGAACCCATTCAATGTCCCGCTCCATGTCGAACTGGGTATAGCCTGTGGCAATAATGGGGAGTTTCGTCTCCAAGAGTAGCGGGAGCGTCTCCGTCCACTCGTGGCTGCTTGCAGGATGGCCCAAACCGGGATGGAAAAGACAGAAACAGTCAAAATATGGGTCGTACGGTGCAAAGTACCCGGTCTTGTGGATGGTGTGGTAGTAGTCCACGATAGTGCTGATCTTCATCTTGTGCGATATCCGGTCTTCGACCACCATACCGAAGGGGTTCTCGGGAGTTCGCGGTGGCAACGGGAACTCGTCATCGCGGTTCGCCATGCTCTCCGGGCCGATAAAGATGAGGTGGACCCTGCTCTCGGGGAACAGATGCGCGAGCTGGAGCCAGACGTTTCTGGGCAGCGATGATTCGGCACGAGCACCCAGGCAGAAGATCCGTACAGGAGGAGCCTCAGGACGGAGATCCTTCATAGTTGTACCCTTTCCGGATAGAGGAGGGTGAAGGGTATACCGTAAAGCTATCACGGCGTCAGTCCCAAGGCCATTCCGGCGTTAGTGTTGCCAGACTCACCACTCAAACTCTTCAAGCCCTCGCTCGTCAACCTCTCTCCTTTTTTAATGCTGTAGGGGCTCAGCTCGTGGAGAACGCTGCCAATAGTGATGGGGTATGTGAGCATCTTCGTAACCTGGCGCATGCTGCGCTCGTCGTTTATGGCCTCGAACTCGCGGCTGTACATGAAGGTATCCCAGTTCGTCATGTTAACGACAGCCTCAGGCATCTGATCATCCGCCATGACGAACTCGGGGAACGCGCGGCCAGATCGAAGGTCATGGTCATCTTCGTTGATCTCCTTCAAAGTGTCACAGATCTCAAGGTGAGCCTCGTAGTCATCCATCCAGTGTTCCTTGCTGCAGTAGACGGGGACTCCGCAGTCGGGGCATTCGAAATCGACGTGCGCTGGCGCGAGCTGGCCCGTTGACGACTGAGTTTCCTCTCCGTGGGGCGCAACGGTAGGAACTCGAGTCGCGCGGTGCTCTGGGTGAGGGCAATACGCATGCTGCCTCATGAAAGCCGCACGGCGGCGGATCTCAGGGATGGGCGAGTTCGTGAAGGAGTGGAATAGATCGTCCGGTCGAAGTTTAGGAGCTGTCTGGGTTTCTTTGGCATTGACCTTGACAGCAGCTGCTTCCTGATATGCTTTTGGCGTCGAAGAGAACTGTCTCGCAGGTACATTGTTCGCCTTGGATTTCCGGGTAACAGTGGAATGGAGGCTTCGGATCGAGTGGGCTGACGCGATTCGAGGGGAGGCTCTGGAGAGCTCATTGGCAATCAATTGCCTCCTCAGCATTGCAGAGCATTGTCCACAAGCGCTGGATGCTGCTCTTCGCAATACTGGCTCCATATTGGTGTGACGGAAACCCAGTTGCGTGGTCTGCGACTATACCACGAACACTTCCGTTCCAGCAACCTGCGGGAGCTCGCTCATGCCTGCCGACCCGAAATTTTGGAGGAGCTCGGATCAATAAAGTGCCGCCGCCGCCGGTCCCACCATGCCTAGCGAACTTCGTCTCAGGCGCCGAGTGGAAACCTGGAGCTTCTTGAAATTTTGTGCTAGAGCTCCCCAGCCTCCCAACCCCCCAACACTCCAAAAAACACCACCGCGTCTCGTGCCTCGATCATCCATTCGAGCTCGAACCTTGAGGCCGCGCAGGCTATCTGCGCTCAGCTGCAACTATGGCGACGACCTCAAACATGTTCTTGTACTCCCTGACCCTTCAACCGCCTACAAATGTCACCCAGGCGGTATTGGGTCAGTTTTCAGGAACGAAGGAGCAGAACATTATAACGGCGTCGGGGTCGCGGCTGACACTGCTCCGCCCGGACCCGTCGCAGGGCAAAGTCATCACTTTGCTCTCTCACGACATATTCGGCATCATCCGATCAATGGCCGCGTTCCGTCTGGCTGGAAGCAACAAAGGTAAGTCTCGTGCCCATTGTCCCATTTGAAGCTTCACTTAGTGATTGAGAAGCTTGGTCATCGCGACAGGTGTCCTCGCAGTCAATGTCGATAGACTTCGGAGGCGAGGCGTGATTTTCAAAGGACTTTGCTGACCTTGTGTCAAAAGACTACCTCATTCTCGCGACTGACTCTGGAAGGATAACCATCATCGAGTACATTCCTGCCCAGAACCGATTCCAACGTCTGCATCTGGAGACGTTCGGCAAGTCTGGGGTCAGGCGAGTCATACCTGGGGAGTATCTGGCTTGCGATCCTAAGGGCAGAGCGTGCTTGATTGCCTCAGTGGAGAAGAACAAGCTTGTCTACGTTCTCAATCGTAACTCGCAGGCAGAGCTTACAATCTCGTCGCCTCTTGAAGCACACAAGCCTGGTGTCCTTGTCTTGTCCATGGTTGCCCTGGATGTCGGATATGCAAACCCGGTCTTTGCTGCGCTTGAGATTGAGTACACAGAAGCGGACCAAGATCCTACGGGAGAGGCAGCTCGTGAAGCAGAGACTCAACTTGTGTACTACGAGTTGGACCTGGGTTTGAACCATGTCGTCAGGAAATGGTCTGAGCCAGTCGACCCCACGGCATCCCTACTTTTCCAAGTTCCTGGCGGTCAGGATGGACCCAGTGGAGTCTTAGTCTGTGGCGAGGAGAACATTACATATAGGCATTCGAACCAAGAAGCTTTCCGCGTACCGATCCCGCGTAGGCGCGGTGCGACGGAAGACCCGTCAAGAAAGCGTCACGTTGTTTCCGGCGTGATGCACAAGCTCAAGGGCAGTGCTGGCGCCTTCTTTTTCCTCATCCAGACCGAAGACGGAGACCTCTTCAAGGCCACCATCGATATGGTCGAGGACGCTGACGGCAACCCCACCGGCGAGGTTAAGAGGCTCAAGATCAAGTATTTCGATACCATACCGGTCTCATCCAGCTTGTGCATTCTCAAGAGTGGTTTCTTGTATGCCGCAAGTCAGTTCGGCAACCATCAGTTCTACCAGTTCGAGAAGCTTGGAGATGACGACGAGGAACTGGAATTCTCAAGCGACGACTTCCCCACGGATCCCAAGGCCGGATATGACGCCGTTTATTTTCACCCAAGACCCCTGGAGAACCTTGCGCTTGTGGAGAGTATCGACTCGATGAACCCCCTGCTTGACTGCAAGGTGGCCAATTTGACTGGCGAGGACGCTCCACAAATCTATACGGCATGCGGCAATGGCGCTCGCAGCACATTCAGGATGCTGAAGCATGGCCTGGAAGTAAACGAGATTGTGGCCTCAGAGCTACCCGGTATTCCCTCGGCCGTGTGGACGTTGAAGTTGAACCGCGGCGACCAGTATGACGCTTACATCGTGCTGTCTTTCACCAACGGAACACTGGTCTTGAGCATCGGCGAGACTGTCGAGGAAGTCAGTGACTCCGGCTTCCTGACGTCTGTGCCCACGCTGGCTGCACAGCTGCTGGGCGAGGATGGACTCATTCAGGTTCACCCCAAAGGCATTCGTCATATTCGACAGGGCCAAGTCAACGAGTGGGCAGCGCCGCAGCATCGGTCCATTGTCGCAGCCACGACAAACGAGCACCAGGTTGCGGTTGCTCTCAGCTCGGGTGAGATAGTCTATTTTGAAATGGACGGCGATGGATCTCTGGCCGAGTACGACGAGAAGAAGGAAATGTTCGGAACCGTTACCTGTCTGAGCTTGGGTGAAGTTCCGGAAGGGCGTCTGCGAAGCTCATTTTTGGCAGTCGGTTGCGATGATAGCACCGTACGTGTCTTGTCGCTGGACCCCGAGTCGACGCTCGAAAGCAAGTCAGTGCAAGCGTTGACTGCACCTCCATCGTCTTTGGCAATCATTGCCATGGATGACTCGTCGTCTGGCGGATCAACCCTCTACCTTCACATTGGGCTCCACTCTGGAGTCTACCTTCGTACGGTTTTGGACGAGGTTACTGGGGAGCTGACGGACACGAGACAGAAGTTCCTTGGCCCCAAGCCGGTGCGGTTGTTCCAAGTTACTGTCCAAGGACGGACTTGCGTCATAGGATTAAGCTCCCGTCCATGGCTTGGATACTCCGATCCCATCACTCGAGGCTTCTTGGTTACGCCCCTGAACTACGTCGACCTCGAATGGGTTTGGAACTTCAGCAGTGAGCAGTGTGAAGAAGGTGTTGTCGGCATTCAGGGTCAATCGTTGAGGTAAGCACTTTTCTTTCTGCACTACCCCTTCTACCCCTTCTATGACGTGATGAGAAATTTGGGATCCTATGCCAAAGTGCTATGAGGTCTTACGCAACATACCAATTGTTCCTACTGAGTCATATCGTAACCTACTTTTTTCTTGGTTGTTTTTGCCTTGGCCAGCACTGACAAGGTATAGAATTTTTGCAATTGAGAATCTCGGAGACACTATTACCCAAAAGTCGATACCCCTCAGCTACACTCCGAGGCGTCTTCTCAAACACCCAGAGTATCCCATGTTTTATACCATCGAGGCAGATAACAACACGCTACCCCCTGATCTCCGAGCCAAGCTCATCGCAGAACCGGGCGTTGTGAATGGCGACGCCCGGATCCTCCCACCTGACGAGTTCGGCTACCCCAAGGGCAAGGGCCGATGGGCTTCATGCATAAGTGTCATCGACCCCTTGGCTGAGGATCAACGGGTCTTGCAGACCATTGATCTCGACAACAACGAAGCAGCTGTCAGCGCTGCAATCGTGTCTTTTGCTAGTCAGGATAGCGAGAGCTTCCTCATCGTCGGCACAGGCAAGGATATGGTTGTCAACCCTCGCCAGTTCTCTGAAGGCTACATTCATGTGTACCGTTTCGGCGAGGATGGCCACGAACTAGAGTTCATTCACAAAACCAAGGTCGAAGAACCCCCTTCAGCACTTCTCGGTTTCCAAGGAAGACTCCTTGCTGGAATCGGGAAGACCTTGAGGATATACGACTTGGGTCTGAGACAGATGCTCAGGAAGGCTCAAGCCGACGTAACCCCTCAGCTGATTGTGTCACTGAGCACACAAGGAAGCCGTATCATCGTCGGCGACGTTCAGCACGGCATCACCTACGTCGTTTACAAGCCCACCACCAACAAACTTATTCCGTTTGTGGATGACACCGTCTCCCGATGGGTCACCTGTACCACCATGGTCGACTACGAATCAGTTGCTGGAGGCGATAAATTTGGCAACATGTTCCTCGTCCGCTGCTCTGAGAAGGCGACCCAAGAAGCGGATGACGAATCAGGTGGTCTGCACCTTATTAATACCAGGGACTACCTGCACGGCACCCCTCACCGCCTCAGTCTTCTCGCCCACTCGTATACCCAAGACGTACCCACCAGCATCACCAAGACGAGTCTGGTTGTCGGTGGCCAGGACGTCCTCCTCTGGAGCGGCATCAACGGCACTATTGGCGTCTTCATCCCTTTCGTCACACGCGAAGATGTAGACTTTTTCCAGAACCTCGAGCAGCATATGCGCACCGAAGATGCGCCCCTCGCAGGCAGAGACCACCTCATGTACCGCGGCTACTATGTCCCCGTCAAGGGCGTCATCGATGGCGACCTGTGCGAGAGGTACACACTCCTACCCAGCGAAAAGAAGCAGATGATCGCCGGCGAGCTTGACCGCTCGGTTCGGGAGATTGAGAGGAAAATCTCGGACATTCGTACACGGTCCGCCTTTTAAGGGCTGTTGACCGGCGGGGTGTTTTTTTTCTTTTGCTTTTCTTCTTATGGGACAGGTTTGCTTGCTTCCCGAAATCGATCTTCGCGCAGGAGACGGAAGACGCTGGGACATGTTTGCACGGATTGTGTACAAAGCGTTACAACGGTATATGGTAGCGGCGTTTTTTATACTGGCCAAACAGAGCAGTATGGTGGTTCAGGACATGATGACGATGCCAATGAAAAAGAAAAGAGTTCTAATAAATACCAGATGCCCCTAACGCCGAACCAACACTCATGTGGTTGTGCCAAGTGTCGCATGAAGATGCCAGCTTTCTGAAATCCCCCCTCCCCCCTTACATACTCTCACGCAGAGCCCCTCCAAAAGGGCCCGCGATCACGCGGTGCGGCTTTGCTCTTCTTCCTCTTTCCGCCCTCTTGCACGGGGTTGTTCCTCTCCCAAGCCTCATCGTCCAGGTAGGCCTCCATCGCCGCAGCGAGGTCGTAGCCGACCTGCTCGAGATACAGCACGGCGACGTCGTAGTCGGAGACCTTGCACCCGGTCATGAAGCGGCGGATGCGGCTCTTGCGCAGCTCCTCTTCCTCACCCTCGACGGGGCGCGGCGACAGGCTCACGCCGGCGGCGTAGTATTCGCCCGGGATGAGGATCGTCCGGCGGCCCTGCAAGAGGTGGTCGCTGGCGATGTTGTTGGCGCGGCGGAGGACGGCGGCGGGCACGCCGTAACGGAGGGACAGCGAGGCGATGGTGTCGTGCTCGTGGTCCAGAAAGTGGAGGGTGTCCTCGGGCGGCGTCGCGGTCGAGGACGACGACGACGGGGCACAGCCGCCGCTCTTTTCGTCCAGAGGTGCGTCGGCGGCGCTGGGCGCGTACGGCGGAGGCGGGGCCGCCGGAGCGCCGGAGGAGAGGTGGTGCGTCGGCGGGAAGGAGCTGTACGACGGCGGGTCCCTGAGGTTCGGGGGTAGCACAGAGGGCGCCGAGGAGGTCTGGCAGTACGGGCAGTAGGATGCGAAACGGGGGTTGTTCTGCATGCGGTCAGCAAACTCCAAAACGAGGGGGTTAGGGAAGCACGAGGGAGCGCGGGCAAGCGAACGTGGATGCAGTTTCCGCAGATGACTCGAGAGCAGCACTCGGGTCGCCTGTCGTCCGGGAGTGGCTTCTCGGTGGCGGCGCTGTGTCGGGGGACAGAGGCGAGGAGCTTCGCGCATGTGCAGCAGGCCTCGCCGTCCACGGCCGCTGCTGAGCCGCGATCGGTTTTCATGGTTCCGTGAGATCAAAAGGGTCTGCCGTCGTCTACGAGTCGCTGGATGGCGTGTTTTGCCGCGAACTTTTTTCGGGGCAAGTTTGTCTGTATGGGCGGATCGGGAGGAGGTGTGTTACGGCCCCCGGGAGGAGGTGTATGAACCTTAGCTAGGTACGGATAGTCCGCGATGATGAGCCGTCGACGGTGTCACGGGCTGTAGGACCCTCATCCCCGCAGTGTCGCCACCCCCACTGCGCCGCACCGCCACCGCGGCCGAGTTGGCCGCAGCTTGCTGACGTCTTTCATCCGTACTTGGCTTGTGCCCGTTTCGAACCGCCGCGGGTGTGGTGTTCGCAGGCACATGCTATTGCGGTCTGACTCGCCCTACAGGATTGCAAGCGAACTTGAACACTGTCATGGCTACAGGCTTGAATCCTTCTGCGGCACGTCGGCGGGCTCGATCAAGTACACACACAGGCAGCAGGTCGGCGCCACCGCTTGCTAGCAGCTGCGAAGGATTCCTGCATCGGGGATTCAGCTTTATTGTCTGGGCTCATAAGCTGCCGAGACCTCACACGCGCGCTGTGGATACGGTCTGGTTTCTATGTCTCAGCATCCCCATGTTTCCACGTTTATGGTATCTTGTCGTTCTATTTCTGCGCGATAAAAGCGCAACAATTCCACATGGCAAATGTTTTCAAGGGTCACCAATGAAAGTTTGAAAGGATGGCAGTGGGAAGAAACACCATGACGGGTAGCGGAATAAACATCTTGGTTCCGATGAGACCATTCATACCAAGCATTACGCACAAGGCTGTAGGTGATTCCGTGGGACACCATATGTCTTTCTGGATGAAATCTTACTCTCTGTCAGTCGGCTTGGAGGCAAAGCCAGCGACGAAAGGGAAGGAGCCGTCCGGTGCGCGACCTGTTATGCCTTACAATCCTAAGGTCTTTCGACGACACCCGGCAGTCTTGACCATTCTTGACCTGTTGAGTCCGCTTTCCTCTAGTTGTCTGTGCGTACGGGTGTCGCGGAACCGGAACTTTTGCAGTCCAAGTTATATCCCTCCCAGGCAGGTGGCTTAGAAGGATGACGGACCGCCCCCGTGAAGCCGCTCCACGATCCGATGGAAGCTGCCGGTGCTCAAGTACGGTATTCCATTCGACGAGCATGTCATAGGACTCATAGAGCATCAACATATTCACTACAAGCTGTTTCTGCAATTCCATTGACTAGGATGTTCCCGGGCTTGTGGGGTAAAAAGGAAAAGACTTGCACATGAAGTGCTCGGTTCCTACATGCTACCCTCGCATACTCAATGGCAAGGGCTATGTTATCACCGTGCGGCTCTCTGGCGGTAGACGACATGGCTGCGCTCGAGGCCATTGGGGTCCACGGTTCTCTATTCAATACCATTCCTTCGTCATCTCGGTTCCTTGTCTACGTCTTCAGCTCCGTGGGCCTCGTCGTCCGTCTACGCAAGGAGTTGAAAGCCTCTTTATTCCCGCCAAGCTTCCAACGAGATTACCGTTGACATTGTTCGCATGGAAGGGACATACCTCTTATTTATCGCATCCTTCCGGGAAACTCGCCGTCTCAACAGCACAGGAACATTCATTCGCCGTATAAAGAGTAGCACGGTATTTTCAATTCTCGCCGCAACTATCTTCTCAAACAGGGCTACTTCGTTTGAGTTGACCAGCACCAATGGGTTTGAATGCCAAGGACTTCTTTGGCTCTCGCTTCGTGGGCAAGGGAACCGAGGGACCAAAGCAGGAGAAGAGGATGTTTTTTTTTCCTCAGTAGAAGGTGGTCGGTACACTTGTCTGGGTCGTCACTTTGCTTCTGCCGAGAGCTGAGGCTTCCTAGTTATTCTCCTGATGGGCTTTGAGATTACGAGTTCTAAAGGCGGTCAGGTCCGTGTTCCGCAACCGAAACTGCCAAACATGACGACATCCACCTGGCCCTCATGTGCCGGGCAAGACTTGAGGGCCAGTGTTTCAAAGAGGCAATGCTGGGAAGGCGTAGTGTGGAAGATAATGGAATAATTTAGTTGGCTGTTTGGTGTAGAATCCTGCATCTCCTCTCGAACACGAAAGGACAGAGAAAACAGACTATAATGGGGAAAGGACCAAACACCTGGGGATAATCGCTCTCATTGAAACAACAGTTGCGAAAGTTAGTCCGTCATTCTGAATCGGCAATACTTCCAGCCCATACCTTCCAGGAAATATCTCTCCACTGGGTACGATCCTAACCCAGTAGCACACCAAAAAGCGTAACCGTGGCTGTTTGGCCTATCGAGATGCACATTTTCTTATGGAATATTATATGTTCCTTTGCAGATTGGAAGGCAGGCTTCCGCACGTCACTCCAGAATCCCGCCAAGGGAGACTGCTCTTACCGCGCCGGCTCCGATGTAATGAATTTATCAACTGGCATACTTGTCGAATATTGCGCGCACAGGTGAGGGGTACAAGAAGTAGAAGATGTGAATAAAAATCTACTAGTGAAGTAGAATATATGATATTCCGCGTCAAGTATCCATTGTCCTTCCTGTTCTCAAAGTTATGCCAGTATTGACCACAGCATTTATTGTCCATGATTCGGCCATGCTCTATGGGCTACGCCCTCCTTTACTTCATCAGCTCTCCTAATGCATGGTACTTAGGCCTGCTCAGCTAGAGATCATTACCAATCGTTTGCTCTCTAGCTCGCCCGTTGTCGTAGGCCGGTCGACTGGACAGCACCGATACCTAAATCTGGGCCTCCTGCTTCACGATAGCCGCCCTTCCCCGGTGTACGTCCGGAAGACCTGCCCAGAGACAGACTCATGAGCAAGGCACCTTTAAATAGATGCCCATGCCAAGAAAGGCAGTGGCCATGAACATCGCTGCTTGCTCGACCGGCACGGACCTTCCTTCCCCCTAACCCTCACCCGCGCGGTTCTTCTCTCAGCGCGGGTGGCCCTACATTTTTAGAGAATAAATTTCCTATGACGAGACACCTGAGACAGCCAGTTTTTCTCTTATGCAGAAGCGAGGGATAAGTGTCAGTCAACTGCATTCATCGTTGCATGCCTTTGGTCTTCACTGCACCATGACATCTTGGGCTCTGGAGGGGCAACGGCGCAGCGGTTTCTGAACCGCACGACAGCTCTGGTGGGGTATTACATCTCACTTTCAGGAGGCGTGCTAGATTTACGGATTCCGCGCGAAGGATAAAGAGGCACTGGCTATCTAAATCTCTTGCGAATAGTCATCCAGCAGCTCCGGGGGCTTATGGCGAAGATTGGAACCTACACGTTGGGAGCCCCGCGACCAGGGCTTCCCCGGCAGACTGACGTTAGGCAGTAAACGATACAGCGGTCCGGGGCGAAGCTGGCCGGGTCATGGTGGGGACAGCGCCGGGGCCGGAAGCGAAGGGAAAAGAGCAACAGCAGCAACGGAGTACAGAATATCTTAGGCCAGGGCCTCTGACGGTTCCGAGTATCTGATGTATGCGGTTCGGCTATTCTCCATACGCGAAATGCTGATGTATGTCTATGGCATACAATTCGGCTCAAACATAACCAGCAATATCCATACTTCGCCTAGAAACAGATTTGGAACAGGTCGAGGACACAGCCCTATAGCTGCGTTTGCATCCTCCCCAAGTTGTCTCTATAAGCTCTCGCACGAGTTGTTCTTGTTATACCCACGGCTACGTAGTTCGTCTATATCATGGGGGTTGAGTGAGAGAGAAAGTCGTGTTGAGATGATGAGCGTCGATGAACAAGAAGCCAGAGTATGCCAACCACTACACCATATCGGACGTACTGTGAGAAATAAGAGTAAAGCAAGAGAATATTCCTTGAGTGCGGTTTAGACGACCAGATAGCCATTTGCGTTCCGCACAAGAAACCTTGCAATGGATGGCACTAAGCTGAGAATCTGCACACATGGAACTTATACCACAAGACGTGCCCTGAGCCACCAAATTGTGAAAACAAACTGTTGATGGAGTCTTCGTTTGTGTGGGTCAACTTTGCGTCAACTGGCCCCAGCTGGCGGGAGAACAGTTACGCGGAAGATCCACAGGTTGTCGGGAGCGTGCGCGTTCACTGCGAGGGCACATCACTGAGTCAAGAAACCCTTGAGGGTGCCGACTCAAGGAAACATTCAAAAAGGCCCGATGTCCCTTTCGCGCTTTTCCCTTGCGAACATCCGTTTTGACTTTTCCCATCCTCGACATCGATTGACGCCACCTATGACAGAGCCACACGCAGGGCCACCCTCTAGAGGACGGCAATCGGGGCCGCCTCTGAGCAGGTTTCCCGAATCATCGGGTTTTCCATCTCGCCACGGTCGAGGTTTCACATTGCCGAAGGCTTCGGGCGCAGTGGCATCGTCATCTTGGCAAAGAAGCCGGGCTCAGTCCGAACACGTTTGTTTGTGAAGCATCGAAGCCAAGCATCTTGACAGGACAAGAAGCGCCAATCGGAATGCCACTTGTCTAATTGCTGCACTCCCCACAGACTTGGCGGAGATGACCATCTCACCGGCTTTGGTGTCAATATATTATTTAGTTTACTTGTTCTTGGCGGTGAAAAGGCATCTCCTGACCACGACGTAAACGGCGCAGTGCATCCAACAGGTGAGCGGCCGGCGGCCAGCTTCCCACTCACACCACTCCTGACCGGGCTTGACCCGAAGAAGCAATGTAACGACGAGCCTTGCACCTGAGGAATACATACTCCGTACCTACCGGTACATCTCCACCGCGGTCCACCGAGCTGGCGTCCCACCCTAGGGCTCGTCTACGGGATGTGTGTGTGAGAAAGAGAGAGAGAGAGAGAGAGAGAGAGAGAGAGAGAGAGAGAGAGAGAGAGAGAGAGAGAGAGAGAGAGAGAGAGTTGCGTCGCTGGAGGGAGAAAGAGAAAGGACAAGTCGACGACTGAACAAGCCGCGCAACCCAGAGGCATTTTCTTGAGGGCTTTCCTTTTGTTGTCAGTGCCGATTCGTTGGCTTTCCGTTGTTCGGACGCTACAGCAAGTACCACCAGAACCGACGCAAAGCGCGGGAATGGCCCAGACCTGGGGAGAGACAAGTTGGAGACTAGAAGTTTTCTAGAAGAAACTGAGTGATGTCCGCTTTCGGTCTTCGCTGCGGGCTCGGGCCATCCAAGTTGACCACCCGACCTCGATCCGACGCTAGGACCGACCAATCTGGCCGAATGGACGGCCGGTCAGCTGGACGGAAGCCCATCGAATGAACCGACTTACCCATCAACCTTTTGCCTGCCTTGGACGATCATTGACGGACGTCGGTCTGATCGGCTGCCAACTCAACAAGCGCCGCTCGCAACAGAACCTTGGCTTCTCAGGTAAAGAGAAGGGAGTGGGAAACGACAGGATGAACGTCAGTGGCCACGGTCTGGCATGCAGAGGTCGGCCAAGGGAAAGGGTGCAAGATGGATAAGTTAAAAATAAAATAAAAACAATGGTAGTTGGAGTAAGTCTCCAACGCTGCATAACTGAGGTAGGTACGTATCCAGGGCAGTCCGGTCCATCTTAGGTAAGGTTGCACAGGTACTCCGTACAACACACACACACACACACACACACACACACACACACACACACACACACACACACACACACACACAATGGTGGTCTAACACGGCGACGTGAAAATTATTTCAACCTGACAATGCAAACGAGGAAGGAGGGTGTGACGAAACACTTCCAATCGCTCTTTCTCCTCCCGACTGCTTGGTTCCTGCCGCAACAATGGACGCATGCTTTCTTGGACGGCCGAATAGGAGAGCCCGACAGCCGTTCGCTCGCTCACACACCCGCGGTCACAGCGACATGAGGCGATCCGCGGAGATGCAAATTTCTTATCCTCAAGGATCCGAGGCAAGCATTCCTTAGCGCGGTCCGCTAAACCTTTTTGCCTTACCGCGCAGTTCGCAGGGATGAGCCCACCCCTACAAACCACGCTATGCCATTGGGGGTGTTTCTTTTTTTCTCTCTTCTTATTTTTCTTTTCTTCTTCTGAACCTTCCAGGGCAAGCCGCATTCGGGTTTCGCTGACGCTTTTGCGGCACCGATGCTGATCATTGCGTCGCTACCGCTACCGCTACCGCTCGAGAACCCCAACGTTGTATATATGTCGTTCAGACCGAAAAGCTTCAGCGCCAGTGTGAGGGTGCAATCTAGGTACATAGTATTCGTACACTGCCTCCCAAGTGATCTCACCTGAGATCCGTCAAAAGGCCCAGCTCGGCGATCATTCACCGGGGCGCTTTCACTGTCCCGATGTTTCTTAACATTGAGATCCAAGGGCCAGCTTCGCTCTGAAGAGTCCGGAAATGTTCTATTTGTACGGTAAGCGGTCACTCCACGGAACAGCCTGAGTACCAAAAAACGATGGAAACGTTTTCGCCAGACAATAGTACGTCGGCTGCATGTACCCGGTGCCACCATTGGAGCAATGGAGTGTGTGTGTGTGTGTGTGTGTGTGTGTGTGTGCCGCGCAACTGGACAACAGAGATGGCCTAGAGCTCAGGTGATCTGAAAATTTCGTCGACGTGAACGCCGGCTCCGCCCTGGTTCAAGGCCCGGCCCCAGCTTCGTCCGATGACTGCCCAGAGGCTGGCTGCACCAGTCGCCAGCTGCACCGGGCCATCGCGAAGAGACGTCTGGGATGTTCGGCGTCTTGAAAAAAGGGCCTCTCCCGAGCGAAATGACCTCGTCCCCATTGCCAAGGACGGTCGCGGTGCTGCTCCTGTCGACCTGCAAGGAAACGCTTGTGGGGCACCTCCGAACCGGAGCCTGGGAGATTGTGCTGATGGAACTCTGCCATTGCATCATTGTTAGTTAGGATTACTCGGCGACAAACTGCGGCCCGCAGATTCCATGAACTCGCGAGTTGGCCCAAGTACGTGTAGGGCAATGGGCGGAAAGTTTCATCGCGTCGCAGTGCATAGGAACAATTCCCTCCCCAATCTCCAGAGGCCGGCCTATTTATGTCCTGTCCTTTGGGGGGGAAACACAATCGTCCTCGCCCGCCCTATTCCCTCTCGTGAGCTGTCTCAAGCCAATATATTTGGACCCATCGCCAACGGCGAAACAAGTGCTTGCGGTCCGAACCAAAAATCGGGGTTTCATGGAGCCGCTGTACTATGTAAGCTTCCAGGTTTGGCGTGCAAAAGTGTGCCGACTCTGCAACCCTGCCGCAGCGATCTGACGAGGATGGCTCTGGGTGCCGTCAAGTTCAAGGTTCCCCGAGGCGACGTCTTCCTTGCGAGATTCAAGATGAGCCTTCCGGAGGGGCAAGTCCTAATCAGGTACCTTTACAGGGCGATGCAAGTGCCTTGATTTCTGGTCCAGCCTTCCTGCCCTGATCCACGGGCGAACCCTCATGTCATTGCATCCTTCATGTGCGAAAAGGAAAGAAAAAAACGCCAGTCGGACCAGGGGGCGTGCACGGTTTCGGTGGGCAGCGTCTTCACACACCAGAAAAGCGAAAGTGACCTGACCATAAAGCCCTTCACAGACACCATGCTCCGTATCCGTAGGTAGGTAGTTTACATATAACCAACCCAGTCCCACCCCGAACCCCGTGGAAAGGGGGTTTGAAAAGCTTTTCTGGGTCTTTGGCAACCGATCATCCACCTCCGAGACCAGAAGGAACTGGCTCATTTGGTTTTCGCGAGAAGCACGGGTAATACCTCGAGGGCTCCGTTGAGACCGCCAGAAGGAAACTACGACCGAGACAGCGTTGCATGCATTACGGCCACCACACGACACCCGCGCGCTGCAAGCCATCATCAAACCCCCTCCAAGACGAGGCATACCTACTTCTACGAACTACCGACCCTCTTTCACCCTGTCAGGGGCAAAATTCCTACGCCGGCGCAGCCTCGGCGCAGCCTCGGCGCACGACGCTATCCAGCGAACGAACCCACGTCGTCTGCCTTGAGCCGAGCCGATCAGGACCTGAGCCGCCGGCCTCGTGCGGTATCCGGCCCATCCCACCAGACTCAGGAATCTCTCCATTCCCGTCATCGTCAAGGTTAACCTTTTGGAGGAGCAACGACAGCCTCTGTCCCGTCCTTTGATCGATCACTATCGCGGTGTTCTGCTCCAGCCTGCTGGTCTTCGTCAACGCCGTTGAAGTACCACAACATACCGCTAGCACTGCTGGTTGCTGGATTGTCGATCAGCAGACTGAGATTGACATCAACGCGGCTCCTCTTTCCTCCTTCATCTTAGTCCTTACCCTCTCGTATCATCCAAGTGGGCGCTACCACCATTATCACCACTCACTCGTACCGGGATCTTTCTGGAAAGGTCAGGGCAGCCCACCAGCCAGACAGAGAAAAGAAACTGGGAAAGGAGAGAGTGAGTGAGAAAGGAAGAAAGAAAGAAAAAGGAAGAGGGGGGGAAATAGAAAAATAGCCGTTGGCAAATCTGTACATCCAGACAACCAACCCTTCTGGCACCACGTCTGCACCAAAACGCGGGGAAGAAGTTCGGTCCACTTGCACTGACGAAGCAAGACAGAGAAGAGAAGAGAGACAGTGAGAGACATACACACGAGCAGACTCCGTCCTGTCAACGTACGTACAGTACCTATGTGGACGTTGCGAAAGCAGAGCATCCCGCCCTTTTGAACAGGAATTGCGAGCGCAACCTGGCTGAGCTTGGCCTACAGAGTCCACACACCCCCCTCACGCACACATACGGACACACGCCCCCCCCTTCCCTGATCTTTCCTCCCAGTCTCACCCCTCCTCCCTGAATCCCCTCCTCTCTCTTCTCTCTCCCCACCACCATCGCTCTCTCTCTCTTACCCATCCCTCTATCCCTCACCCCTCCCCGCTCGCCGCTGCACGCCCACCTCCCACGCCGGCGGCCCTGTTGGGTGGTGTCTGGCAAGTCTGGGTCTAGGCGAATGGGTGAAGGGTGCCCCCCCCGTCGAGCTGGCAGTTTATTATCATTACATAAAAGACCGTCGCTCTCTTCTATTTCCTTACACACTGCAACCTCTCATCGCTGCGTCCCTTATCTCTGGGCTGGCAAAAAACGGCTGTCAAAGATTCACCCGAAGCTCAATTGCGCCCGCTTGGATGCCTCTCCCCCCAGTCACAGTCTCAGCTGCGCACCGCTCCGTACCTTATCTTGCGACTGCTTAGATTTTCCCACCCATTCAAGGTCCCGTCTACCACGCTGTCGGTTTCGCCCCAATTCCCGTGCGGGCGCTCGTAGGCGCCACTGGGCATCTTGTCCCCCGGATCTCCCTTTTTCGGGCAATTGTTACGGCCCCGTCCCTGCTTGTCATATCCTTTGCGCCCGCACCCACGCACAAACACCCATACAACCAACGCTTCCAGAACATCGTAGGGCTGGTAGTGTGGAACACCCGACGTCACAACGGCGTCCTATCTACAGATCCTCCTGTGCTTGCTGCCGCTACCGCTGCCGCTGCCGACCGGCCACCTACCTCAACCCCCGGGCGAGATAAGGCATGGCAGATAAGATGTCCATCGACAACAAAGCTCCCAAGGAGGATACTCCCGAGACCACGGGCTCTAGTCCCGAAGCCGACCAGCCCGGCGCTGCCAACGGCTCCCCGAACAACGCCAATGCTGCCACCGAGAATCAGCAGCCCAAGCGAAAGGGCGGCCGTAAGCCCGTGAGTCAGTCCCTTCTCTTCACCCTCACTGCACTTGACAAACCCCTCCATCTCTCTCGACACCAGCGTTTCCCCAGGCTTTTGTCCGTGTCACCAGTTCCAAGGTTTCACACTGGGACGAAACCTTGTTTGATCCTATCTCTCGCCCGGCCAAAGGCTAACGGGCGACCCCAAGATTTACGCTACCTCGGAGGAGCGTAAGCAGCGAAACCGCCAGGCCCAAGCCGCTTTTCGCGAGCGCCGCACTGAGTACATCAAGCAGCTCGAAGAGGCCATCCGCGTCCACGAGTCCAACCTGCATAACCTTCAGGCCGCTCACCGGACTGCCGCCGATGAGTGTTTGATGCTGCGCTACAAGAACTCTTTGCTGGAGCGTATTCTTTTGGAGAAGGGTGCGTCAATATCGTGCCATGACATCGATGAATCCTCTGTTAACAATCCATCACAGGTATCGATGTTCAGGCCGAGCTTCGAGCCAAAACCGGCAGTCCCAACTTGGGGCCGACTCATGCTCCCCAGAACATGGTTCAGCCTCCACCCATCCAGCGTGCCATCCTGAATAGACATCACCAGTCGCGAAGGTCTCACTCGAGCATCGCCCCGAAGCTCGAACCCGGCATCAACAGCCTGCCTCCACCGATACAGGCTGCTCATTCGGTCGCGTCGCCCAAGGGCCGACCTACGCCATCGTCTCATTCCAACTCCCCCACGAACACGGCCGCGTATGGCAGTCAGCCAGCGCTGTCGCCGGCGGCCTCCGACCACGGTCCGCTTCGCCCAGGCATAGCATCGTCCATGAAGCCCCAGCTCAGCCCAATGGGCCCCATGAACCCGGCCGCTCGAGCTCACATGATGTCCGGCGGTCCTCCTCGAGTTGGCAACACCGGCTCATACTATCCGTCACCTGGCTTCCAGAACCACATTGAGCAGCTAGGTAAGCCGCCTTTTCCTCCCGTCACTGAACTCTATTGTCCTAGTCCTAACACCGAAGCCCAGAACAAGAATATGATGCTCCTGCAGCTATGATGGAGGATTCCGAGATCGATACCCCAAGTGGTCCCGGTCCATACCCCAGCGGCTTCTCCGGCGATGCGCCGCAACAGATGATGCCTTCCCCGAATTCTGTTGGCCACGGCCAGCACATGCCATCTCAGGGCGAATCTACGCAGCCTGCCCATACGAGCCAGGGTGCATATCCTTCCATGACGCAGCTCTTGGACACCGGCATGGAATGGGACCCCTTTGGACTGAGCGCCAGCATGGCCTTCCCGTCACAGTTCTCTTTCGACACGAGCAACATGCGATAACACCACAACCCACGCTAACCAAGAACCATTGACACGGCTCCCTGGAAAGGAACCTATGAAGATCAAGACTCTTTTCACTAGTTGACAAGAGAAGATGAAGGGGTTTTATACATGTTTCATCACGGCCGTCGCAGCCCATGTCGTATTATATTTTATCAAAAAAGAAGTAATCATGTGAAATGGGCGATGGCGACGAGCGATACAAAAAAACTCGATACCCGAAACGACACGACATCAGCATTCGGACGGCGAGATTGTTTTACCTGGGGCGGAGCATATAAGCAGCGTCCTTCATCACGACAGAGCAAGAGGGAGGAAATGATTCTCAAGATGGCTTCAATACCGGCGTCGAGCGGGCATCTAAGAGGGGAAAATGCGACCACGACATAAAAAAGTACAACAACAAAAATGGTTTGATCTTTCAGCAAGCAAGGGACATGTCAACTGGGCGGCGGGGATACCCCACGGGAGGTTGGGCGGCCTGCAGTACTTGGTCTTCTTGTTTTGTAATGGCGGGCCACGCGAGAGCCTGCCAAGTTTTTTGTTTTGTTTTCAAGGCGTTTTCTTCAGCATCACAGTAGCTGGATGGCATGGGGAAATAAGGAGGAATGGGGGGGGAAAAGTTTTTGTCTATTTCTGTTGGTCTCCAAAGTCACATCTTCTCTTCTCTACTTGGGTCTTGGTGTGTTTGCTCCCAGTGAGTGAAGTGGCTCTTCGTCGTCGCAGGGTCGGTTTCGTGCCTCGATTCCTTGGATAAGGCTTAATCGAGCCACGGGCCGAAGGACCTTCACCTGGTCCATTGTTCGATATTGTACAGTTTTTTGCTTCCATATAATGATACATCACGAGCAAACGATCAGAATTGGCGTTGGCTGTCGTTCCTCATACCCCCGCTGACCCCCTTCGCCCTGCCTGATCCAACCCTTTTTTTTTACGCACGCTGGACTACCTGGTCTCTGTAGCCCGTGTTCGGTTCCGTATAGCTCTCGTTTGCAACGATCTGGACCTTTGGGTAATCAACGGGGCTGAATGTTCCGGGAGCCCTGATTCGATGGGCGCGCCGGCTGGGCGAGCCCCCTCCGGATCTTCTTGGTCACGGGGTTCCAGGAGGTGCATTTGCAAAACCAAGGTAGCTTCCATGGCAGACGTAGCCCGGGGCCTTCTGGGAGATGAATCAACGGGCCAATGGGAGGGCACACACCGCAACGTGTTAGTAAGAACTATGTCTGAAGCGCTGAGGCTGGTAAGGCACTACAATATGGCGTACCTGAGGCCCGCTTCTCATCCACGAACGATCGGGGGTCTAGACTCGGAAGGGGCCAAGGCGTGTCAGGCGACGTGACCGGGGTGAGGAAGAGGAGGAGGCACCGGCATTTGGGAGCGTGATGTGGATGCATGAAGCCGTTTCCCTGACGACGACCCCAGATCCTCCCCGGCTGGGAAACTCTTGCTAGTTTAAAAAAAGAGAAGACGGAACAAGAATCTGGGGGCGGTCCCGAATTGTTTGGTTGATCGCCCGTTCTTCCCGTTGAACCCGTGCGCAGAGCTTTGAAGGAGGATTAGCGAGGGAGGGGGAGAGAGAGAGAGACTCGATGTGGGCTTGCCCGTCCGTTGCGACGGGGAAGTGGAGAGCAATCGCCTAATAGTTATGTTTGGGTTTCCGAGGAGAGCCACACTGCCCAGTGAGAGAGAAGAGGGGGTTTTAGACAGAGTCACGTTCTCCACTGGTGATTGTTCGGGAATTACGTAACTCGCACTCCGTGATGAGAGAGGAGGGATACGAATATGCGAGGCGTGTGGGAGCGTTACCCCTCTGGGACGATGGCTCGCTAGAGCTCGTCCATATGGAACGAGCGAGGGGGAGGAACGGGAGAGAAGAGATTGGGACTGGGTAGCCCGGTACTGGTGAGCACGGCACGGCTCGCGGAGATGGGCGGCGGGTGTGGGTTTTTTGTTTTTCGTGCTGAGCCTGGGCCGGAGATGGCCTGGAGAGTGCGGGCCAAGGAGCGTGCTGGGTGGTCATTGAGAGTTGCGTGGACTGCTTGGCATATCTTACGGGGCGGCGATGGCTCTGCACGGAGATCGTGACGTTGCTTGGACAAGTCCATCTAGGAACCGGGCAGGAAAGTGACCAACTTGGTCAGCGTCTGGTCTGGATCTTTTCATGAGGGGCCCGGTGGCTTGAGCCAAGAGCATGAGTCGCAGACTCCCCGGGATGATGTCGTTGACTTTTGTAATCCGGGATTGTGCTGTCGACACAACTTGGGGCTGATGGATGAGGCCATGGCGTTTGCTTCATTGGCATCGAATACGGTGGTCTGGGCTTTGTCGATGACTCTGGTAGATAGCAACTTTGAAGGCGGGTACTGCCAGTAGCAGTAACAACCTCGGTTGTCTTCCGTCTCTGTATCTATCCATCACCCTCTATTATACTAAGAATACTTACTACTTTAATACTAAGTATCCTCTCCACACCCACTAAGAGCTTCTATCTATCATCTAGCCTATAGATGTAGTAGTTAGAGTTACCTTGTTTGGGCCACGTCTGAGATCCAAGACCTGCTTGACTCCGTTGTTCACTGCCAAAGACAGATTACGCGATCCGGCGTGTTCCTCTGACATCCACGCCAAGGCCTAGACCCAGGATATCATAGGACTGCATCGTTTGAGGTGGACGCAGATAACTAGTTCTATCTCCCAGCAAACATTAATAAATTGTCCCAAGATGCAACCACGGTCCTTGATAAACTAATACTTAATGGCGCGCGTTGCCTGCGTACAATCCACATGATTTACAATGTGATACATGCAGCCTTACATGCGCTCTTGTTATTCTACCTCATCTAGAAAGTTATACGTGTTATGTTTAACTAGGACGTCCTCTGGGCTGATAGTGAATCAGTCCATATGAGGTAACTTATGAAGGCTGTAGTATGTGTTAAGATCCAAATAAGTTATGTGAAAACGCCTAAATTGCAATATAAATAACTGTTGGTATACGGTAGGTATGCTTCGGGGGAGGTGGTCACGTGATATTCACGTGACACACCGCCTCCCTCGGCAGTATCCACCTCACCACCAGTATACCACCCAAAAGTCTGGATTCACTTTGTAACCAACAAGAACAAGCAACCACATTCTGTATCACGATTTGTTACGTGATCTACGGGATATCCCTCTTACGTGATTTAACCAACAGAAACAAAACGACGCGACAGGGGTAAAAGAAAAACGCAGAAGGAAACCAAAGAAGTACGAATAGGTTAAAGTCAGCGCAAAGGAACAGAATATCATAGTCATGGTCTATGTAACAGTCAACATGTCGAAAAGCTCCCTCCCTTCCAATACTAAGTCCACCTTGGATAGATAGTAAGTCGAGTTGATTGAGGAATATAAACTTGATCCCCATGCCATTAATCCTGATGCTTTTCTGCTCTTTCACTTTGTACTTCTCTTCTGCGCCTTCCCCTTTTCTACACATCCAATGTTGTAAAGCTGTACCTTGAGTTTCCCAACTTTGATAGGAAGGCAGGCTTGGTTATGAGATTCCATGGTACTTCTTTCTGTTCGGAAACTTTCCATTGTGTTAAGAATTAGGTATAGTAGATACGTGGGACAAGGCCAGGAATCTATCTCCGAAGCAGGAACCTAACTTCCTCGAGACTTTTGTGCCATACATATAAAGATGGACTTTCCAGTCCTTCTTGTCCGAAGTTTTTCCCTATCCTCGTCCCATAGTCTCCGATAATCCACCCCATCCACAAATGTCGCGCAGAGGGTTGAACACCTGCGATGGGGTGGATGGTTCTGTGATCCCGCGCTCGAAATGGATCAAAGGTTTCCGATTCGCAAAGAAGAGCAAAAAACGCCAATGCCAACTCCAACGCCCCCCAACAACAACCCGAGGAACTCGGCAGCGGGCAATGCCCCACGGTACACGGATTGCTCGGCAGTACAACGTCGCGAAGTTGCCTGACGTCCTTGGAAAAGCCGATGAACTTCGGACCGACTACCTCATGCACCACAGGATTGAGGACGCAATGCAGAAGTTTGACTCAAGCCACGAGATCGGCGCCAGGCTCCCCAAGCTCGGTGGTTGGCATGACCGATAATCGAGCTTTTGGGCCGAGTACGGATTTGTCTTTGGTTCCCGCGTCGAAGTTAGAGAATCCGCGTTGATCTCAGAGCGTGTGCTCCCCGCCCCCCTTCCTGTCGGGGAAGCGCTTGTCGACGCTCTCTTGCCCACGACCATTAGGCGTCGAAAGCAGGACTTTCTGACCAGACCCGAGAACAAGAACTGTCTGATTCGCACGTATCTTGGCCGGCGTCACACGACCAAGGCGCAGAACAGAATCCAGAACCTGAAACTACAGAACTTTCCCCTCCACGTCAATGAGATGGAGCAGCTGGGCCTCGACACAGCCCATTTTGCGAGCCTCATGGCCAATAATTTGGCCATCGTTCACTGTGGTGCAATGGTTAACGGTAACGATGTCGAGTTTATCTTGGGAAGCTCTCCCGCCCAGATCAGACGTGTGCCCCCGGAGGAAGCTGAGGTCATGACCTCGCGGCAGATGTGCGACGCCATCAAATTCGAATTCAACCACCGGGCCATGGCAATGTGGCTAATCGACTTCAATCAGTAAGTCACCTTTCCATTTTGCGCTTCTTAGAGTCGCGACGGGCATTGAATCGCTACGAGATGTGCCTCGATCCAGGACGATCAAGGCGGCATCGACAAGCTTGCCAAGGCTTTCCATCTTCAATGCCTCTTACTACCCTCGACAAAACCAGCCGGACGATCTCGATAAGGAGCTTTGGGGTATCTTTCGCAAGGCCTACCTCGACATGAGCCACAGGGTCACTGAGAGTTCCGGCCCCGACACATTTATTGCACGCGTGGAGATGGAGAGGAAGGAGGAGAGTATTGATAACCTTTTCTAGGTTGCTAGTGTAACTCTTTGTTAGTTCTTCATGGGTACACGAAGAATAGTGAGCAATTTTAGCGAGAATGAGCAGTAGAAGTGTACGGAATGAGACGGAGGTGCCCCTCCCCTCCCCACCCCCTGGAGATCTCTGGTTATCTTTCGCAAAGGGTATCTTGACACGAGCCACAGGGTCCCTGAGAGCTCCGGCCGGGAGACGTTCATTACACACGTGGAAATTGAGGGTAAGAATAAGAGGATTGATAATCTTTTCCAGATAGTGGCGCTGTGTTTTCATAAAGAGTGTGTCGAGAGTAAAAAAGTATTTACAAGTAATAAGAAAGAAGCTCTCCTCCCTCATCATGATGATTTTCTGGAGTGTACTAGTGGCTGTAAGGAGGAAGCGGTTTGTGCGGGATGGGACGGAGACGCCCGTCTCCGGGGACAGGGAAAGGGGCAGAAGAGAAGACCAAGGTGAAAAGAGCCGCTTCTCAGGAACAGAAGCTCATAAATGAGACTCGCTTCAAAATTCAACTGTTTCACGGACTCGGGGCTCAGGGAATGCCTCGAATACAAACCGCTTCTAAGGCCGATAGTCTGCGAACTTTTGCTTGGCTAGATGGCCTCTGTGCGTTTTAACTGCGTTGCCGTATTGTTGCATACCTGTGCGACCCTAGATAACCCATATTAGATAAATATCTCAGTTCAACTATTCTTCGTGTTTATAGCAATGTGTGTAGTGCGCCGGACCGACCCAGGCCCAGATTCGAAATACAAGTGGTACAGTCGTAGTACATATTTATCAAATGCAAAAACATCACCATAAGAGATATCCAAACATGAAATTAGAAATACAAGCTGTGAGCGAAGAGGGAAGGGACAATGTGAAACATACCCTTCGCGACTGCCTTGACTGGATACCTGGGCGGTGGGCACTTTCCCACCCAGAAGCTTCCACAAACAAAGCGTCTACCTGCCACCTGAAAGATATTTCTCAAACGCACTCTAGATATCATTCCAAAGCTGACTCAACCGATAACAGAGCTCTTCGTCTATTCTTACCACACATCTAACTTCTCACCTCGAACCAATACACGACAAACCCCAAAGATGAAGACCAGACTCCGCGCCTCCAGCCCCGTCGAGGTCGTCAATCCGCTGCTCAACCCGCCGCCTCAAATCAGCCGCAAGTACCAAGGCGCTCTCAGACGCCTCCTCCACGCAAAGATCGGCGGCGTGCGCGAGGAGGACAAGCCCCTAATCCAGTTCATCATGCCCACCATCATCCGCGCCGCCAACGATCCCCTCATGCCGGACCCCGACCGCTTCTACCAGGACCCTGACTACGTCCCGGACTACAATAGCCTTCTGCGGCTGGTACAGCAGTTGCGGGCTTGGTATGGTGTCCGGCCGTCCTTCTGGAGATGAAGGGACGAAAAATCACATGCCAAGGAGTCGGCGATGGTTTTGTAAGTCTTTCTTTTTACCCTCGTTGGAATGTCCTTCATAATATGTGTGCTGACTTGACAGACTGTTTGGAACTCGGTAGAGAGGAACAGATTCGATAGTAGTGGGTCACGATATCCAAAAGTGGTGAAGCAAAACAGGCGCGTGGTAGAGGAGATCTCGAGGTCGATGCACATGGAGTAGGCGTGACGAAAACGTCGTGATAGGCTCAAAATAACAAACACAAACACTGATTGATTCAGAACCGAGAATTCAAAAGCAATTAAATGAAAGATAGCGTGATCCCTCTGTAAATCCTGCATAGTCTTCGCCCGGTCTCAACCCCAGAAGGTGTCAGCAGTGACCGTCGCCATCTACTGGTTTTTTCTTATTTTTGCTTTGCAACTGTGCACTTTTGAACCGCCAGACCCGGCCCGCGAGAAGAGAATGGGGTACTTGGTTGAGAAATCTCTCTGGATTCTTCAACAACGGCCTCAGTTTTCGAAGGGATGGCTTGAGGCAACGGGGCCAGATCCAGCGCTGAGTGCGGCAGAGGTGAGTTCATGTTCCGGCATGTTCCAGCGAAGCCTTTCTTTTTTGTACTTTCTCCTGACTTCTCGACATGTGGCCACCACAGTATACCCATCGTTCCTATGGACCCCCGCGCGTGTCTAGATGTACCTCGTGGTGCGGTGCTGTCCGTGGTGGAACTTGGTCTGGTGTCGTTGGTTGGACTTGTGGGTACCTTCTGTCCCGTCTCTCGGCCCCACCACGCGATCGGCCCCGCGTGCGCGAGTGCATCGCGCCTTCCTGGGGCGGAAAGTGCCAGGTGGTCGAGGGGTCAAAGAGGTCCGGCCATCTTTCTTAGGTAACTTACGTAGGCAGCTCTCAAGGGCCAAGGTTCGAGCCTCCCATTTTCCAATGTTTTGTTGTATTCAACGTCGTTCATCATTTCATGCTCGCTCGAAATATGCAATATAAGTACACGCTGCAGCTCATCTTACCTCCCCCCATTCTCTGTCTCTCACAACCGACTCGACTTGCTCTCGTCCATTATCGCACCACTCATCATGGGGACTTGCTGCACAACCCGCCCCAAGACCAACTCCCGCCCACCCTTGGTGGTCCACCATGCGACGCCAATCGTGGCCCTTTCGACATCCATCTCGCCGCTGACCAGCACCTCCCAGAAGCGGTCCTTAACAGGCTGACGCATGACGGGGTCGGAAATCTCGTTCATCGCTTGCGCCGTCAGGGTCATCCAGTCTTCCACAAGCGGCAACGGCAGGAAGGGCAAGGAGTCGATGAGCGTCAGGACGAGCGAGCTCTGCTCTGAGAGGGGCTCTTGTTGTGTTGTGAGGCCCTTCTCGCTTTGCGCGATGACGTCTTGCGTCTGAGGCAGGAGAGTGGTGCTCGCGTCCATGGCCTTGAAGCGCACCATCTCGAGCAATGTCTCGGACAGTTGCGGTTCCATGAGCGAGATCGGGAATGGCGGAGAAACGATCTGCATGACTGTTTTGAAAGCCACTCGGAACTGTCGTGATGATATCTGTGAAGGGAAGGATGCAAAAAGAGCATCGATATAGAACGGCACGAGACTGACGGTCAAGGGGCCGTTATGTGGGCAAGACAATACCGAAAGAACGGCGCTGTGAGCAGCCTCAAACAGCTCAACCATGGTTGCCGTCATTGTGCCGATGTGAGTGAGATAGGCGGTTGCTGGCCGGACGATGAGGCTGTCACAGGCCTCGGTGGGCATGTTGAGGGGCAGGTGCTCCGACACGTTCATATAAAAAAGGTCCAGTGTCCGGTCTAGCGGGCTAGGAGGCACTGCTCCCGCATGAGGGGGCTTCGTCTCGCCTAGGAAGGACACACACGCGTCCCCAAAGCGTGCCAATATGTCAAGGGATGTGAGATAGGTGAATGTGTATGCTTGAAACGCGCCGGCTCCGTGCCTCGACGAGATGAAGAACAAGAATCGTAGGGTGTGCAATGATTTGGTGGCGACCTGGGGAGCCGTGACGTCGTTCCTCATGCGAGGGTCGAGCAGGCTGCGTCCGATGACGGCTTGCATAACAGCGACCGTAGCGTACATCGTCTTCTTTAGCGTCCCCCACAAGACCGGCCAGGTAGCCTCCAGCGTGTTGGGCTCCAGCCGTGCCGTTTCGTCGGCGGCGTCCACTGTTGATAACGGATTGCGCTGCCACTGCTGGAACAGTTTCTGCGAAAACTCAAGGAGGCAGTCCTGGGCCTCAAGGACGATGGCAGAGTCCGTCGCGTTGGTGACGGCAAAGGCTGTCAGCCTCGACAAGGGCCCCATCCCGCCCATCAGCGGTTTGCGTTCGATTGACTGCAACAGCTGAAATGAGGAGGTATTCGGGGCCCACTCGACCATCTGGCCGTGTTGTCTGACATCTTTTCTGATGTCCTCCAAGAACCGCCCGTCCTGGAAGCCGTCCTCTCCCGTAATAGCCAGAACGGCAATCGGCAGCAGCGCATTGCAATTGATCGCGCTCTGGTGGAGGTCTGAGAGGAACGGGAAGACGTAGTTGAGCGCAAGCACGATCGACGCCGAAGCAAACGACCCATCCTGGCTCTCCAACGCCAGATTTGCGGCTGTCACGACCGCCTCCTCAAGCGTATTCCTCAGACCGCGCGACAGCGACTTTCTATCGTTGCCTTCCATGCCCATCAGGATGCCCGTCAGGACCAGCAAATGTTGCCACCGGTTGGAGCGTTCGTCGGCGCCCTTGACTACGGCCCTGACCCACGTATCACAGCTGAGCCCGCCGCCCTGCCGCGGAGCGTTGGGGATCTTGATTTTGGCATTGTCCAGCCCATTCTGGCGCACCCGGATCGCTGCGCTGTTGTAGATGGAGATGATGCGCAGGCTCGTCTGGAGGCCCTCGCGGCGGTGCCAGATGGCCGGTGCGATAAGCAGCTGCGAGGTGAGAACCCCAAGGTTCAGCGGGTTCGAGAGATTCGCGAGGAGGTTCACTGTCGAGCCGATGATCTGGTCCGTCTTGCGGTCATCGTGGACGTTCTGGTACAGCTGCAAGACCGTGTTGAGGAGCCGGTCGGCCGGCATTGTGCGCTGTGCGGGCGCGTCGTTTGGCGATTGTGGATATACGAGAAATCGTGAGCGACGTGTCCAGGTCACTGAGTCGGTTGCAGGACGGATGATGAGATAGCCGCGGATGATAGTCGGTTGTGGTGCGGTGGCTGTGATTGACGCCGATGGCAGGGTGTCTCCGTCAGGCGCGGGCAACTTACCGAGGCACCTGAAAACGGGCCCGCAGCCACACCTCGAGCTTTCCCAAGAGCTGCGCCATCCCTGCACGACCTCCCACAACACCTGAAGATCGACGGGCTGGGACAACAACAACAACAACAACAGTTAATACACTACACAAACAGCCTCTATTGAACCATCTACATATGTGGCAAAAGCAACATGCATTTAAGGGGAAACACATTCAGCTATATTGACGTTATGGTTGGAGAGCTACAGGCATACTGGGTGAAGCACTGATTCAGGTCCCGTATTATCCTAGTTTACCTAACATCGGAAGACTCCCCAGCAAGACCCTTACCTTACCCTTACCTTTGAGATGCGGGATAGGGCGTTACCGTATCTTCTCGTTAAATCCGTCCTAAGCTACTGCACGAGCTAACCGAAAGTAGTGTAGCGGCCGCCAAAGAGCTAAGCCTACAATAGAAGGCGGTCCATCCATCCATCTCCTCACCTACTGCTCCAATCAACTTCGCCAACCCATCAACCAACCAAGTAGCCTTGTTTCTGCCGACACGCTAGCCCTCATTCGGCCGCTGCTATTCCCCTTGCCGTTAGCTCGGGCAGTAGCTAAAGACGGATTTAACGAGAAGATACGGTATCCTACCAGTTCAGATTTGCATAGGAGCGCGATGTGGATCCACTATGAAAACGTATCATCTGCTGATTTGTAGGTCGAATGTACGGAGACATGGTTGAAACGGAGCTGGGCATGGGCTTGAGATAGTCGGGGCCGAATAATGAGGAACGCGCTTGCCTTGTAAATGGCAGCGGGAGTGGCAAGCGGTGTGCCCTCGCTCGTTTGCCTCCCCACGTCGACGTCATAGCCATTTGTTTTGGGACTCTACATCTCTAACAACTCCCTCTAAATTGGCGTGAAGATCATCGAAGTAGAGGCCTCCAAAAAGATATCGTGTGTTCCTGTAAGTCTTGCATCAGATAGGTATATGGTACCCTGATAATGGGGTATATTCAAATATTGCAGGACCGGTCTGGGATCGGGACGAGTTCGTTAATCTTGGGATTATTTGGTGCCGAGTACCTAAATTAGCGTTGAGCACGTCAGGTTAGAACTACAAGCTGGAAGATCGCATCTGGGGCTTCGGCCGTTGCGATGTTTGTTGAGCCTAAGAAAGATAGATGACTATGGATAAGCTCATATATGCTTACCTTCATAATAACATACATGGACCGAAGTATGCATACCCCTGTTAGATGCACCAAATACATATGACAAAGATCCACAGCAACCTGCCTCGGCGGGCTCAGCGGCAAGCAAGCTAACCCAGTGCGACTACTACAGTAGTGACACCCACCTACCTACCGAGCCGTCAACCGCGGGTGTCGACGACATCTTGAACCCGCGTCTCTCCACTCTAACCAACCAACCTACTACACAGACAGACCGCTGCAATGTCACAAAGGGCACGCAATTACCCGCCCGAGAACTACCATACACCCTCGTTCCCCAGCATCAACTGGCAGCTTAGAGACCTAACAGACGATCATCGCTGGAGCCTCTTTCACATCGGCGACATTTGGCGCTTCACCGTGCTATGGACCACCATCATCTACGCCGTCGTGCACCTCGGTGCTGCGGCCATCACCATCGCCATGCACACCAATAAGCGGGGGTCGCTGACATATCTCTGGGCCGTGCCGCTTCTGTACCTCATCGTATCCGGCGTACAAGCACTGGTCGCGGGTAGCGTAGTTGGGCTCATGTAAGTCGCTCTCTTCGGACCTCCAGTTGGTAGATGACGAAGCGGGGGGCTGACTTTTGTGTTTCTATATAGCCTCGGCGCGGTCTATAACGCCGGTTTCTTCTCTATGTCGACCTGGATTCCGTTGCTCTGGGGCGTCATCAACGTTCTCGTCCTCATCATCGCGTCCTTCACCATCCAGGGTGGTCTGTGAGCCGACCGGTAACACGCATGCGAAGAGAAACAAAATAATATTACTACATAGTAGAGGTGTAATTGAAGTTGGTCGACAACGCCGGCGTCAACCCGTCGCCCGACGGCGTGACCTTTTTGATTATCCGCGCCGGGTTGCCGGCGATGCATACATAGTCCGGCACATCCTTCGTCACGACGCTCCCTGCGCCGACGGTCACGCCGCGCCCGATGGTGACGCCGGGCAGCACGATAACATTACCGCCCAAGTAACAGTCGTCGCCGATGGTGATGGGCTTCCCGCTTTCCGGTCCACGGGTGCCATTGCGCAGGGAGGGGTCTAGTGGGTGCTCGCCGCTGTAGAAGCAGCAGTTGGGGCCGATGATAGTGCGTGAGCCCACCGTGATGAGGCAGGTATCTACCCACGTGCTGTTGGAGCCGATGTACACGTTTTCGCCGAGCCTATATTACAGTTAGAGACGGTGACATCACGAAGTCCTCCACTTGACTGTGTGTGAGGGACAAGGGGGTGCACGAACTTTACGTTGTAGCCGTAATCCATCTTTATGGGGGTTTCAATCCACGGGTAGTTCTCGAGCAGGGCACTATCCTCGTCCCGGCGGGCTCGCATTGGAGGAAGAGGGACCGTGTCGCCGTTGATGCTGTTATTCCGAGTTAGGTCCATACTCTCCAGGACAGGGCAATCAAATTCCCCAATGACAATGACAGGGGGCAGCCAAGTGCCCAAGAGGTCACGAATGCAAACAACTAAGAGGCAAACTTACTCTTTCCAGAGGCCGACAAGTGTGCGGCGGCTCACATCACCGGCGGAGTTGAGCTTGTCGCATGCCGCCTTGCATCGTTTCCGGTCAGCAATGAGATCCGGGGCAAAGGCCCAGTAGAGCTCGCCGTTCCTCATGCGCCTCCGGTTCTCTTCTCTATCGATGGAGTGGGTGTTCATGGCCGACTGCTGGGTGCCAGAACAGCGCGTGTGTGTCTGCGCGTGGTCCGTATGCGTGAATCTCATGGTCGGGACGGCGCGAGTAAGATTTCACAGGCAACGGGTTTCTCTGAGGGACCGGGAGTGATGAAAACGAGAGGCTAGCGGCGTTTGTTTTACAAGAAAGCGAGGAGCAAAGAAAGGCAAGGGACGTTTGGAGCAGGCCCCTGGGACTTTTTGTAAATGACACGCTCCAATGGATAACGGGGACGCCTGATGCAGAGGTGCGGTATGAGCTGTTAAGCGTAGACGATCTCGGATGTCAATGCCGGCCGTTCCCGGGCTAGGGCTTAGCTTAGTAGTTTATTTGCCGCCCAAGCCTGAAGGAGAGGTATCAAGTGACCAATAGAGCGACTTGCAAAGCAAGAACTAGGTGAGGGAAAAGCCAAGGAGAGCAAAAAGCTGTCGGTGAAGCCGATAGATTCAAGGGTAAAGTTGACAGCTTGTCGTCAGCGCCTTGGTGGTGCTGCTGCTTCTGCTGCCGCCCCCCCCTCACCGACGACTACAGCAGACCAAAGCGCATCCCATCTCATCTCGAGTCTCGGGGCCGAGCAAGCTGGACGACGACGACGACAACGACGGGGGGGTGGGCAGCTGCTCCACGCACTTGCGTCACCCGCCTCCCCCCCCAAAACTCGGCCCGCGCTCATGCTTGGCCTTACCCGCCTCCGACTGCTAGGCAATGCCTTCGTCCCTCCCCTCCAAAAGTGTGCTTGTGTAGCGAGCGGACAACTGTATTGTTCGTATTCCCTACTAGGAGCCAATATCTGTTTCTCCATCTGTCTGTCTTCCTCTCTTTATTCATTTACCCTTTGCTTTTGGCAAGATGAATCAAAATTGCATGGGAAGCGGGGGATCTGCAAAAAGAGAGACAAAACAAAAAGATTGGGTACTCTCCACAGAGCCCACGGGGGTAACTCTGGACCGACCGCCTTCTGTTGCTATTATTTCCTTTTTCGGATGGCTTTTTATGATCCGTTTCCCCTGTCGGGCTCTCCTTTCTCTGTTCTCCCCACGCAGCCGCGCCTTCCTCGGAACCGACGACGACTACCTAGTCCACGCCAACGGGCTCTTTGCAGTGCAGAGAGGCCACGCTCGCAGGAAGTCGCATCCGTATCCGAAGTGTCCTTACGCGTCGTACTCTGGTAGCCGAATTACTCACCCGGTTCGGTCCTATCGCGTTGCGCTTTGATCATAGAGTCGGCCAGATTTGGATCAGTGTTGCCAAGCTTTTTCTCGTCCCAACGTCTGTGCAACGCAGGTGGTATTGGAATGCCGGCACCTGGGAGCTAGAGCCACCGCCACACGACTGTTTCCTGACGTCGCTCCACCCTCCTCCCCCTGCCTTGCCTGTCTGTCCTTTTTTGTCGCTCGAGATTCAGACCGAGAAATTCGATTACAGATTCACGTTTCCGTTCCTGCCCGCCTTAACCGCATCCCGCGGCCTCCCCCCTAAAAAAAAAAAACTCAGGCCCACTACGGATACTCCTAGGTGGCTCGCTCGGCCAGCCAAGCCTTAAGGACAACATCGGATCACAAATTCCCACCGCCGCTACGATGTCGACTTTCCGCCGGGTGTAAGTTGGTTGCTGTCCTGTCCCGTCCTTGTCATCCCCTACCAACTCAGCCCTGCCAAGCCTCTCCTCCCTCCTCCCTCCCCCTTCGGTCCAACCTGATTCCCCGTCAATTCCCTGCTCCCGCCCGGGATCTCTCCCCCTCGCGAAGTGTGGCCACCGCAGCTGAAGTGCCCTTCGAGGGGTCCCTTCACTCGCTCCTGCCCCTCAACACCATGAGTCCCGCCATCGCGATCTCCTCATGCAAGCCCATGAAACCCCTCGTTTGACTATCAGCCCTCGAGCCTTTAGGCTGTCACCATGAGACAACCCCTCCTTCACCACCTCAATATTCTCTCCCACACCATCCCATCCTCACATCAGCGCCTCTGACACTGTTCCCCCCTCACTCATGACTAACGTGTTTCCCAGCGACGCCCGCCCCGCCGACCCCCCCGTTCCCGGCAAAGAATACTACCCCCATCAGCCCAAGTCCCTTGCCGGCATCGCTCTCCGTGCTTTCTGCCTCGGCGCAGCTCACCTGACCGGCCTCCTCCTGACCTTTGCTCTCCTGTCCTCGACCTCCTCCCCGCTCTGGCGTCTCTCCTTCTTCCTTGCCGCCCTCTCCCTCTTCCATTTCCTCGAGTTCTGGACGACGGCAGCCTACAACACACCCCAGGCCACTGTCCATGCCTTCCTCCTCACTGCCAACTGGCCCGCCTACGCCATAGCCCACGCTACCGCCTTCGCCGAGTGCCTCCTCACGAACGTCGTCTTCCCGGGCGCCGTCTGGGCCCCCTTCGGCCTACGGTCTATTCTACTCGCTGCCGGACTAGCGTTGGTGGTTGTGGGCCAGGCGGTCCGCTCGTTAGCCATGGTCACAGCGGGGCAGAGCTTCAACCACACGATCCAGCACTACCGCGCCGAGTCGCACACCCTAGTGACGAGCGGCGTCTACGGCTGGTTCCGGCACCCGTCCTACTTTGGCTTCTTCTGGTGGGCCATCGGCACCCAGCTGGTCATGGGGAACCTGTTCTCCCTCGTCGCCTACGCAGGTGTGCTGTGGTACTTCTTCTCCAAGAGGATACGTCACGAGGAAGACCTGCTGGTGAGGTTCTTTGGCCAGGACTACGTCGACTACCGCAAGCGTGTCGGTATCATGATTCCCTTCTGCGGTTAGCACGACTGTGAATGCGGCCCGGGGCACCGAGCCAGTGTTCTATACAACTGCATGTGATGTTGAAAAGCGCCATTCCTATTTTTCTCTTCTTCTTCTTTTTCTCTAATAAAGGTAGACAGGTACACAATAGATTAGGCAACACTATGCCTTTTACAAACTACGCTCGTTACGAGCTTGGTGCGGCTGACCAGGCTATCTGCCTGCTCACGCTGCCATACTTGGCCTGCCAGGCGTAAAAGTACATCAGAGCAGCAAACGGCTGTCCGAGGATAGTGAAGGAGACCCAGAATATGCAGTTACCGATCATGCGGCCAGTAGGGGTCTGCATCTTTTCGAGGGGAGTGGTGATGGCGATTAGGGGGAGCTGCAAGAACATGCCAGCGAAAGCAACACCTGGCGTTTGTTAGTATATGCACTGCACTCCACTGCAGTATTGTGGAAGGTTCCATACCAATAATGTTGTGAGTCGGGATGCCGACAAGTACCTCATGGAGAACCGCCGAGGCGAAGAAAACGGCCAGCTGGGCAGCCCTGGAACTCCATCCTCGGCCGATCAGAGGCGAGTAGACGTGACGCTTGAAGTACTGGTAGACAGGCTTGTTCCACAGACGCCAGTACGCACCCAGACTTTCGCTGTTCCACCAGTCCTCGTAGAAGCATCGGTCGCCAAAACGAGTCACCTCGGCAAGTGCGTTGAGGAAAGACTGGAACAGAGCAAAGAAGCCGGCGAGCCAGATAACCAAGGAGATGGTTGAAAGCTTCATCAGCCGCTCAAGAATCTTAGGGACATCTAGGGACGCGATCTTGTCGAGGGAGTTGATCAATACCGGTGCGGCGTACTGTGCACTCGCGAACCAGATAAAAACGCCCAGACCAAACACCTCCGCCATGCGCTTAGCGACAAACAGCCATCTGATCTTGTCCGTCCTCGGGTACGCCGGCTGGTAGACCAGCGTCGGTGCCCACCAGAAGTAGGCCAGGTTGTGCATCGTGATATTCTGCGGGTAGGGGCACTGCTGATAGATCTCGGGCATAGCTGCGAGTTCACCCTTGACAGGGTGCAGGTAGGCATGTCGCAGGTCTCGGTTTGTAAAGGCGTACGACGCCGTCTTGAGCCAGACGATTAAGGCATGAAGCTGGGTTAGGGTACCGATCAAAGGATGGTAGATGTGGAAGTACACGACGTAGGACGTCACAGCCAGAGCAAGCGTGATGTTGACGGTGTGGATCCAAGCGATGACCTTCCAGGTGGAGTCGAATCGTGAGCGCTGGTCTTGTGTCGGGCTCGCGGCTCCATCCTTTGATTTGGCTCGCAACCCCCTTGCTTGCTGAGCAGCAGCTAGTTCGATCAAGTATGCGGCAAACAGATGACAGGGGATGAGGAGGTACAAGCCCAAGCCCAACGCGAGATCTTGTCGACGGAAATCGTGGCAACGAACACAGATCAATACTCCATACTACGAACGGTTAGCAACGCGGGACTACGTCCAAAATCTCAATAATTGCCTACCTTTTGGATGTTCTCCATCATCAGACGAAGATTACCGACAACTAGACACCGTAAGTTCAGCCGCCCAGCAACCCCTGGATGCGGTTCAAACATACCTAATACGATTACCATTAGGTTCCTGAAGCCAATGAAACTCGGAGCAGCATCAGAATCATGGCTTAGGGTGGAAGGGCGCGACTTGTGGTGGACGGCAGCGACGTGCCGGTACTTCCGCTGGACCGCTCTCCTCAGTTCCTCGGTGGTGCGGCGCTTTTCGGGTGTAGTTTCCTCTGCGGTTTCCTTGGAATTGGTGCTGCCATTGTGCGTGCTGCGGAGGGATGATGTGGCGGTTGAGCTCTCGAGGCTCGTCACCGTGGCCGTATTCATGACGGGCAGGGCGTCCTGGAACCAATTGGATCCCCGGCAAGAATGTATGAGGGTGAGTAAAGAAAAGCGTCCGGGGTGGATGACGAGGGGAGCAGAAGGGTGAAATAGAAAAAAAGTGAGAACTGGTTTGATAGGGAAGGAATAGCTAGTATGTATATGCAATGCAAGTGAGAGGTGGCAAGCGCGATAAGGTATCGATCGAACAGTATGTGTGCAGGACACCACGCCGGGCCGGGGCAGGAGGAACAGGAACGAATTGAATTCGTAACCAGTGTTTCCAAGGGACGACGGATGGCAAGTTCGCTCTGAACCTCCCTAATAGCTGAGAGAAGCTATTTTATTTTGGATGGATAGGGCGAGTGAGCGCATTGGCCTTTTTTGGACTGTACTTTTTAGGAAGAGAGGGGCAATAATCGAGGGGAAGGAAAGTAAAGTAGGGGGTACGTCAAGGCACAAGGGGGAAGAGGGAAAAACAGGTAGAGGGAGCTGGGCAGACGCCACCAGCCCTCAAAGCGTGGGGATCCGTTCGTTAACGTGGAGGAATGGCGGAAGAGGAGGCGCGCTGACGACAAGAATGCAGAGACGGCGTGCAGATGTGGGCGGTTTACAGGGACGCGAGGCAAGAAAATAATAAGATGCAAGACACCAAAACAAAAAGAACTACTAGTAGATGGGGATGATGAGCAGTGCACTAGAGGAGCTAGACGATGGCACGGTCCTGGAAATTGGAAGGGGGGACCTTGAGAATGTCAGGGCCGCCGAAGCTGTCTGCTGTCTGTCCGTTCGTCTGTCTGGTCTGGTCTGGTCTGATCTGATCCGGCTCGTTGGAGGTAGTGCAGCCCAACTCTGCAGTTAAGCAGCCCACCAAGAACCAAATTAAATCTCCTTACCACGTAGTATACTATGACGCCAAGGTAGTTGAGACCCCGAGGGAAAAGCGCATGCATGCACGCCAAGGGTCTCTATGGCTCCAGGGAATGACGGCGATCCCCGGTGACATCTCTGAGTGGTGGACACGGGGGGCGGCTCGTGGGGCGTAAGGTGCATTGGGAGAGAGAAATTGAAGACGGAGTCGTGGCTTGAACTCAATCACATGTAAATTGTCAAGGGGGCAAGGGGGATTTCTCAGGTGGAAAGAGTGACTGGGATCATGAAATCGCGCCTTTCCGGAATCATCGCTTCATTCTACCTAAAAATCGGCGGATATTTTTGGCTGAAGGACAGTTGGGAGCTGAGCCGGATGTTGGCCCGGATAAGAAATCCAGATAAGAGCCGTGGAGCCGCCGCCCCTCAAGTGCATCAGCTCATCTAAGTAGGTAGCTCCTGCCCAAGGGGACGTTCTGACCTTGCCGGTCAGGTGACCTGGAGAATCGGAGATGGCGCGTGCACGCGTCGTGCTCATTTTCGCTGTGATTGGCGATGAACCAGCCTCGTGGACCGAACAATTGGAAGCTCCCTCACCAACAACGCCAAACTGCAATTGTTCAAACCTGGAGTTTCTTACCATCAGTATATACAAGGATACGCCCTTCAGTGATACCCGGCTGATCTGAGGCTCGCTCATGATAGTCTAAAGATGGCGTATGATCCTCGAGGGGATCACCATGACAGGAGAGGGCCAGGCGGAGACGGTGATGGCGGATTTGTGAGAGCTCGAGGTCGACGTGAGTCAAATCATTGTCTTTGTCATCCAACCTTGCGAAAAAGACAAAAAAACTCTGTCGAAGTTGATGGCGCTTGTTCTGCTGCTTCATGAAAGGGCGGGAACATCACGGTTCGCGATGGAGTCACCTCAAGATTCGAGACACTGGTCAGCAGGCATTAAAGAGACCACATGGCTAACATCCGCTAGGTCCCGTCACTGACTACGGGTCAACGGTCGCTAACTGGATGCGCCATCGCTCACCCCTGGATGGCGATGCATACACTGGAGAAATCGAACGACCGAGTGCTAGCTTCATCGTCGACGTAAGTCCTCAGCGAGTTTCCTACCCTCTTACCGTGGCTTTGGCACCAACAGTCTCATAGTTCATACCACCTGCTGCGAGGAAGACAGATCCTGGCGACACAATCCCAGTGAAGCACCTCCACTCTTCGCTCAACAAGATCAAGCATCCCATCAACGTCGTCCGATGGACACCAGAAGGTCGCCGTCTTTTGACCGCTTCCAGCAGCGGAGAGTTCACATTATGGAACGGCACAGGATTCAACTTCGAGACTATTATGCAGGCTCACGACTCTGCAATCAGAGCGCTGGCCTACTCCCACAACGACGACTGGCTCATATCTGCCGATCACGATGGGTGCGTCAAATACTGGCAGCCCAACTTCAACAACCTCCAAAGTATCGCTGCACACAACGACCCTGTCAGAGATCTCGCCTTCAGCCCCAACGACTCCAAGTTCGTCACTGCTTGCGACGACTCGACGTTGAAGATCTTCGACTTTGCGGGAGGAGCAGAGGAGTCAACCCTGAAGGGTCACGGATGGGATGCTAAGAGCTGCGACTGGCATCCGACCAAGGGCTTGTTGGTATCGGGCTCGAAAGACCATCTGGTGAAGCTGTGGGACCCCAGAACCGGCCGTTGCCTGACTACCCTCCACGGACACAAGAACACAATCACAAAAACCTTGTTCGAGAAGGTTCAAGGCGACTGCCTCGCGACGTCAGCACGAGACCAGACTGCCCGAGTCTTCGATCTCCGAATGATGCGCGATATCTGCTTGCTTAAGGGGCACGAAAAGGATATATCGACCATTGCCTGGCATCCAGTTCACTCAAACCTGCTGACCACTGGCGGTCACGACGGCTCCCTGTATCACTACATCCTGGACGAGCCAAACACCCCGGCCGGCCATGCCAGCTCCGTGGCGCCGTATGACAGCTCTGATCCCTCGACAACCACGGCGCAGACGATATACCCCGCGCACAAGGTCCCCTACGCTCACGACTTCGCCATTTGGTCTCTGGATTGGCACCCTCTCGGTCATATCTTGGCCTCCGGTTCCAACGATCGTATTACGAGATTCTGGTCCCGGAAACGTCCCGGCGATGCCGATGTCTTCCAAGACCGCTACCACGTTGGAGAGGCGGCCGCCGAAGCAAACGGAACCTGGGACCGCCGCGGTGGTCGTCGCCAGCGGCAGGAGGAAGAAGAGCAGGAGATGGAGGATGAGATGGACGGCCTTGTCGACCAGAAGATGCCCCTCAAGCAGCCCATGGTACCTGGCTTCCCCGGTCTTCCGGGCTTGCCTGGACTACCCGGCCTTTCCATGCCACAGAACGGGACTGGTGGTCCTGTGCCACCGCCACCCATGATACCCGGCGTCGGTGCCAACGGCGGAGCTCATCCCCCACCTCTTCCTTTCCCGCTTCCCGGCCTGAACGGCGCACCGCCGCCGCCGATTCCCTTGCCCGGTGGCATCGACCCCAGCAACCCCGCGGATCTCGCCAAGATCGCCGAGATGATCCAGAAGGCTGGAGGCACTCTCCCACCACCGCCTCCCGGCGGCTTCGCACCCCCCGGCTTGGTACCGCCGCCCAATTTTGTGCCGCCCCCGGGCTTTCCGCCTATGCCCATGCCGCCACCTGCGAGTCTTCAATACGAGTCCGACGGGCGTGGCGGCAGGAGAGCCCCGCTTCCTAGTCAGGAGGAGAGCCTCAAGGCGGAGCAGCGACGGGGCAACTACACCAGGTCGCGTTAGGAACGCCTCTATGGTAAGAGAAAAACGAGCGGGAAATCCGAGGCGAGGAAGGTGAAGGTCGGAAGCCAGCAGCACCTCATTACGCTGCCCTGATGATCCCCCATGTATGATATTGACTTCGGCTGGACAACGGGTTGATACCCTGGCGTAAGATTATGGAAAACACAAAAACACTAGCCATAAGATTGGGAACATGGATGGGCCCTTCCTCATCCGCGCTGTTATGTATGTGGCTGGCGACAGTCTGTCGCCCAACCGTCTATTCGGCAGGAACTAACTAATGTACATGTGCGTCGCTGCTGGAAAGAAGATTTCCCGCTCGGTGCTTAGTCTCTTCTAATGCAATCGTAATGCGACCAGCCTCTTATGAAAGCTCCTCAGAGGTACAGTGATAGTACAGAAAGGAAAGAAAACCCGCCGTGTCATGCAAAATTCCCGCTACGAAAAATAAAAGGAAAAAACATCTCAGATGATCGGAACGTAATGCCATGCTCTCTGTTGTAGTACCAACCCTCTCTTCCCCTTTCCCTCTTGCCGTTCCGTCTTTAGGGGCTCGGGCTCCGGGACTGCGAGCCACCCTTGCCGAACGACTTCTGCCTATCGGCGTACTCCTTGACGACGATGGCACACGACGCCTCGCTGCAAAGCCTCTTGCGACGCTGGGGCGCAAGCTTGGACGCGAACTCGACGCCGGCGGCGCGCTCGACGGCCTCGAGGGGCATCTCGAAATCGGAGAGCGGCTTATTGTTGGGAATGGGCGCGTTGGGCATGACGAAGGCGCCAATGGCGACGTTGCCACCGGCCTTGCCGTCCTCGGCAAAGATGACCTTGTAAAAGTGCGTGGGGACGGCAACGTTGGGCGGGTTGCCGATGACCTCGTATTTTGTGTACCACTTGCCGTCGACGGGGTCGCGCTTGGGTAGGTAGAGCGGGCCGGTGACAATGCGCACGGAGGGGTAGCGGGTGGTCAGGCGGCGACAGAAGTCCTCAAAGTGCGCCCAGTAGTCGCGGTTGAAGCCGTCGCCGACCTGGGGGCACATGTTGGAGAGGTAGAATGTGTCGTCCATGGCCTTTTGGGACCACTTGCAGTCGGCGGCAGGGACCTGGTGGCCGCGGTCGTAGCCGCTGCGGAAGTAGTCCTTGAGCTTAGCCTGAAACTTTTCGGGGATGGAGGTGTCCTCGACGAAGGCGCTGTTCTTGCGGTCGCCGCCACGCTGAGCGAGGGAGGCCGGGGTAATGTGCTCGATGACCCAGTGCGGGTTGCGCGTGCGGCGGTCGTAGCTCGATATGAGGGCAGGACGCTGCGCGAGGTCGGCGACGGGGCCGGGGAAACCGTATTCGAAGAGGCCGGCCGGGTCTACGGGGTTGCCGGAGACAGATCCGGGCAGTGGCGGGGACGGCGCGGCGGCCGCAGGAGGGAGCGGCGCGCTGGGGTTGGTGAAGACTTGGGTAGCGGGAACCGGGACGGATGGAGAGTTTAACGGGGGGCTCGCGTTGGTTGTCGAGGGGGCAGGTTGCTTCGGGGAGCGGAGCGAGTACATTGTCGCTGTGAGTGCGGCACCGCCTCCTGCGCTTAGAGCTGCGATGAGGGCGAGAGATGTGGTTTTGGACATGGCGACAGTGGATTTCGGCAGCGGACGGCCGGCCTTTTTTGTTGATGAGATTGGTTTTGGTGGAAAGGAGGAAGAGGGAGAGAAGGGGGGATTTGCCAATGTCAGGCGTCTGGCGAGAATGACACTGTTCTGACCACGGGAATGGGAAGGATGGGCATGTGGTGATGGTGGTGTGGTGGGCGTGTCAGCTGTGCTTCGGAGCTGGAAAAATTTGGGCAGGCGGCCGCGGCTGCCCGCCTACCGAGAAATCTTCGGGGACTTGGTCGGAACGGGACAGCTCGCGGTGCTGTTACAGGGGAAAGCAGATTCCCTTTTCCCGAGTATTTGCCGGTGCGAGACGTCCAAAGGTAGGTAGGCAGGTAGGGTATCGGGTGCAGGACCTGCTCCGTGGTAAGGCTGGCGCGCTAAGGCAGCTCACCATGGGCTGGTCTCGGTGTATTTCTCTCACCGAATCTGGGTCTAGGCCTAGCGGTGGGGGGTTCAGAAGGGAGGTGACGGGAGGATGACCAACCCCCAGTCCCCGATTCGCAGCCCCGATAACCCTGCAGCATGAGCAACTTTCTTTACAAGAAGCATCCCAGCCGTGGCAACAAGCATGGAAACTATGACAACGAATGAACAAACAGGCATGTCACTTCAACAAGATGAAAAAGGAAAAAAAAAAAAAAAGATGAAAACCGCATTTCACGTGTGTGAAGCCAGGCATCCCTTGGCTAGGCTAGGCTCTTCAAGCGGCGTGCATCAATGAGTTGGCGCACATAGCAGAGATCACGGGGTCCTAGGGGGGTACTGGGGTGCCCAGCCCATCCGGGTTCTCAAGCCAAGCCACTCCTTGATCAATCGGCGTGCTGTCAACTGCATTGACTCGAGCTGGGATCTGGGGTGGATTAAATCCCCATTGAAGGCGGAACAGGGTTGCCGTTTGGCTGCGGCTTCTGCGGGATGAACGATGGTAACAGATCCGGAATGCCCATGGATAGACTGGTTGGCTTATCCTCATGTTTGCCCCCCTCGCCTCAAATCTTCCCATGGAAGAGAAAGGTGGGTTGCTCTGGGAGAGGGTCAGACGGCAAGCTGCAGGGCGGCTCCTCGGGTGAAAACAAAAAAAAAATCATGCGAATGAGAATGAAGGGGAAACAGACAATGTCTGGGCGTGAGACCTTGGACGCGGCGAGTCCTGCCATTTGGCCATCAAGGTTCTCCGAATTCGATCCGCCCTTTTCCAACGACCAGGTCCATGAATATGACCCTGCTACCCAGCCATTTCTAGAAACAACGCAGCAGCTCCGCCAACAGCGCCAAACTCAGCGCTCCCCCGAATCCACTTCAACGCTGGCTGGAAAGCTTAAGGCGTCTGTCCCTGCGTGGTCCCAGCGCTTCCTTACTAGTTTAGTTCCATTTTTGTTAGTATGCCGTCGACATCACTGCTTTCTCAGCAATAACACAACACCCATCAATATTCACTGCCTACACTCGTCATATCCTACACCTACGTCCTCTCAAACTCCTCGTTTCTCCCGCTACAACCTATAACGGAAACTTCGCAACGTCCTTCAAAATCTATCTGACACCTTGATATTCTCATCATCCTATCTCGCCGCGTCCTGCGTCTCCAACAACGCATTCACCACCCGCCTGTGTCTCTTGCGCGGCTGTACTACGTCAGTGGTCGCTCACTCCTGCAGAACGAGAGGCAGCCACACCGATACCGTTACCCAGCTTCCTGGACGCCGCGAACGAGACTCGAATATTCAATTCAATAGAACAAAATCCCTCCAAAAAAGGACGTCGGATCTACTGTTTGCCCCTCATATGCGCTGAGCACTAAGCCCACCTACAGTCAAGCATTGATTGGAGGCGTCGGGACTGACCTGTTCATCATGGAGGCGACAGAGGTCGACAACGACACCAGGGGGTGGATCATGTGTATCGTGAGCGGAATGGGTGGGTAACCAGCCATATTATGTCATGCCATACTTTGGCGTGCTGATTAGTGAGCTGTCGCTGACATTTTTATTCCATGATAGCCTGCGTCGTTGGCGCATCCATCATTTGCGTCGACCTGCTTGTGCGCTACATTCCTGGAAAACGCAACTTCAGGATACAAGACAGCAATGGCTTCTTGGCCTGCTCACTAAGCCTGAGTTTCGGAGTCATGGTCAGTCGGTTCCCAAGACCTTTGCGATGTTGCTATGGAGAACATTGACTGACAATGGCATTATGCGTACCAGCTTTACTCGGCCTTGAACAACATGCTGCCGTCTGCAAAGAAGTATCTGAAGGATGATGGGTTTCAAGACCAGCTGGCAGGATTCCTTATGATGGCCTGCTTTATTGGAGGGTTCGTCGGCATTCAAGTAATTTCACGCCTGCTGCACCAGTACATGCCGTCGCATGTTGTCGACTGCGATCACACGCACGACCACGGTGAGAATGATTTCCGGTCGCGCAGTCTAAGCAGGCAGACGTCTACCTACACTTCGAGTCGTCGATCATCCCGCCGCCCGCTTCTCGGAAGGGTTGCAAAGAACGGCCACGCCACCGAGTCGACTCCTCTGCTCAACGGAGGGGTGCCGCAAGAAAACGGCGCCCACCTTGTAGCCAAGCGCCACACCTCGAGTAGAACCCCGAGCGTCAACACCGCGCATTCTACCCCTGCTCGGACTTCGCGGAGTCGTGGTCCCACAGCCGATAGACGACCGTCCATGGCCCAAGTCCAACAGCGGGTCATGTCCTTCGTCAAAGACACAAAAACCAACTGCGATGAGGACGGGCCGTGTTTTGGATACACTGACCCTTGCGGGCAGGAGTGCTTCAAGCACTTGAGCAACCGAACAACAACTGCTCCAAGACATCCGTCCATGCTTCGGACGAGCATGGGGAGCTTCAATGTTCACAGCCACGCCGACCTGGACGACTTGGAGGAGGGCGGTCCCTTAAGCGACCCGCCCACCAGCGGGACAGTGCAGACGAGCCGTGCGACGTCAAGAGAGCCTCTGTCAGAACACCATGAGACGGATCACCATGGTCATGGCCACAACGCCCATGGCGATGCCGAGCACATGGGCGAAGACGTCGAGGCCCAACATCACCACCATGTTCCCACCAACGCCTTCCTCTCACTTGGCCTGCAGACCTCGATCGCTATCGCGCTGCACAAGTTCCCCGAGGGCTTCATCACATACGCGACGAACCACGCCAACCCCACGCTGGGCTTCAACGTCTTCATGGCCCTGTTCGTGCACAACATCACCGAGGGCTTCGCCATGGCGCTGCCGCTGTACATGGCGCTCGGGAGTCGCCTTAAGGCCATGGTCTGGTCCGCCCTCCTGGGCGGCTTCAGCCAGCCCCTTGGCGCGGGCATCGCCGTTTTGTGGTTGAAGCTTGCTAAGCACACCTGCCTCACTCCCACCGCCGTCGCGTACGCCTGCATGTTCGCCATTACGGCCGGTATCATGGTGAGCGTCGGTCTGCAGCTGTTCGTCGAGGCGCTTAGTTTGAACCACAACCGAAACCTTTGCATCTTTTTCGGATTCATGGGCATGGCTCTACTGGGCATCACCGGCGCCATCGCCTCTACGCATTAATGGCATGACACGCCTTCTCCAAACACGTAGCGCTGAGTTCGGAGATACAAGTGTCAAAATCCCTCTCATCGGCGTTTAGGATCATTGTTTTTTCTGTACCCAGATTTGATGAGCATGTTATCGGGCATCGGCACAGGAAGGGCAGGGCGGAACGAGGGCATATAAAGTTCTACCACTGGACGTGTTAACGACTTGAAGGGCTTCAATTGGTTTAGACTGGACGAACAGGTCGTCTTTGCGACCTTGCGAGCATTGGCCTGGCTAGGTAGGGTGGGTGGGTCACTTGTCAACCGCAGAGCATGGCGCTCGCGCGACATTATAGATATGGGCATTGAACAACAGGATTTGGAAAACATCCTACAACCAGATAAACGAACAACAGTGACGTGAAGTGATGGAGCGTTAACGAGTTTTGTAGCTCCCACAGATAGTATATACGTTTTGACTGATCAAAGCAACAACTTTTGGTGACCCCCTTATTTTTATCTAGCAAGTTCTTGTGCGTGTCGTGGCCTTCCGTGTGGCCGGGTATCATTGCTGCCGTAAAGTAAATTAGAAAAAAGCATCGCGCGGACTGTTTCAGTTTCTGCTAAGGTCGGGCTCCGTCCACCGTCGCCATTTAGGCCGTGGTTCCGAGTGCCGGGTCGACAAACTGCGAAAAGTTCTCGTCAATGAGCGCGCGCATGGCCGCCTCCTCCTGCTGCCACGCCTGCGGCGGCGTGCCGAACTCGTCGGCCGCGCCAATCCAGAAGTCGTCGCTCGGACCGGGACCGTCGCCGCCGTCGCCGACGCCCGCGAAGTCCGTCACGCCGGGGATGATGCCGTACAGCGGCAGCTCCGGCATCTCACGATCGCCATCGAACGGTACGCTGTTGGCATCAGGGTCGTCCGCCAGGCTGAGGATGGCGGCCTCGATCTGGTCCATGTGCGGAGCGGTCGGGGAGGGCGGTGGGTGCTGCTCGAGATGGACCTGGAGATCGTGGTGGCGGATGAAGCGTGCCGTACAGCCTGGCATGGTGCATAGGACGGTCCGCTTCGTGCCGGCGATATCGTCGATGAGGTTGGGGGCTTTCTGGTTCGGCACGGGGCGCTCCAAGCCCAGGTGGACGTAGCGGATGTGGTCCTCGAGGTTTGCTTTGGTGACGAAGCCTCCGCCGCAGCCCTGCTCGTTCGACCAGCTCTCGAGGTCGGGGGAGCCCTTGACGTCGACCTCACCGCAGACGAAGCGGAAACCCTCATGCGCCGTGCGGATGTGCACCGTGAGGTTGTATTTCTTGGTGAACTTCTTTTCACAACCCTCCCGTGTGCAGGGGATCGTCTTGCGCGCATCAACAGGAATGCCAGAGTGGCGCATCTCGACATGCCGCTCCAGCTCCCACTGCCCTGTGCACTTGAACTCGCAAAATATGCAGTTGAGGTGCTCCTTGCGGATGTGCGCTTGCAGCAGCGCGAGGGTCGTGAACCCGACCCTGGCGTTTTCGTCGTCATTGCCGCACTCCTCGCACCAGAACTGCGGCTCGCTGTGCTCGCGGCGCGTGTGGTTCCGTAGCGCACCCTGGGAGTCGAAGCCTGCGCCGCAGCTGGGCACCGTGCACGGGTAGGCGTGGGCACCGAGGTGTTCGGAGCGGATGTGTCGCTGAAGGGTGTTGTGCTTGCGGAAACTCTGGTTGCAGGGAGGGAAATCGCGGCAGCGGAAGCGCTCCTGGCCGGCGTGCACGTCCTGGTGGCGGCGCAGGCGGGTCGCCGTGAGGAATGATTTGCCGCAGCCCTCATGGGTGCAGGTGTAGGCCCGCTCCTGGGTGTGGGAACCCTTGACGTGCTGGCGGAGGTGCTTCTCTTCGCGGTAGTCCTTGTCGCACCCGGGGTAGGTACACTTGAAGGGTCGGTCGTCCGTATGAGAGCGGAGGTGGGCGGCCAGGCGAGCCGGTCGGTTGAAGGTCTTGTTGCAGTCCGGATAGGTGCAGGGAATCGTTTTGAGGTCGGAGGGAAATTTGCGGGAGCGAGTGGTAAGGGAGGTCTGGCCGGTCTGGACGGACTCTACCTCTGCGTTCGCAGTCGAGCCGGAGTTGCTGGCGGTATCGTCGTAGTCGTCGTCGCTGGGGGCTGTGGTATATTGTATTAACGGAATACACCGCTGCGCGGAGCTCAGGTATCACCAACCAATGTCTTCTAGGTTCTCTACTTTGGGCCTTTTAGAGCCGGAAGCAGCAGAGGCCTCTTGGGCCTTCCTCTTCGTCATGGCAGGCGAATTGGGAAGAGCATCGCCTTCTTCAGCGACGGGGAGGAGATTTCGTCTACTGGAGTTTGAGGGTCGCTGGTGAACTTATTCCTGGCAGAAAATTGCACGATCCTGGGCGGTCAAACAAAATTTTGTGCGCTGCACCGGCCACAGAAGACTCGGTCCGGGACAAGCTTTCCTCTACTGGTCAGATAACGATAGCACGGACCCGCCCAAGGAACGCTGTTCAATCGCAGCCTCGTCAATAATTTTTCACGGCTGGACCCAGCAGAGGCACTCTGGCTTCCCCCCCGCGACAACCTCTCACCTACGCGACAAGACCAACATCCATATTCCAGCAACCGATCGCACCACCATCTCTCAGTGACCACCGTGTTAATTGACAGCTCAAGATGTCTGACTTTGGTGATGATGATGTCGGCGGAGGGTACGTAGACGAATCTTGCAGCTCGCCAGCGCCACTCTAATCTGATTAACTAGCGACGAGCCCATGTACGAGGACGAGGCGGCCGACTACTGGGACCCCGAGGTGCCCGCTGATGACGAGGATGTCGGACGGGCCGAGGGTGATGAGGATGCCGATAACGTGGTTGTGTCGGGAGACCCGTCGGCTGCGGCGAACGCGGGCAAGGGAAACGAGAAGTCGCACCGCGACAAGAAGATCCCCGATGATCAGCGGACTACAACGCCATACATGACCAAGTACGAGCGTGCCCGCATTCTCGGCACGCGCGCGCTCCAAATTAGGTACGACAAAGGAGCCCCCCTCCCCGCGATGCTCATCGTCATCCATGCGCGATCAACGAGGCTAATACAGACGTTCAGTATGAATGCGCCGGTGTTGGTGGACCTGGAAGGAGAGACGGATCCTCTTCAAATCGCGATCAAGGAGCTCCGAGAGAAGAAGATCCCTCTTATCGTACGCCGGTACATGCCCGATGGATAGTAAGTACTGGACTGTTTCCACCCACGCAAATTGAGCGTGGACTCTACAGTTGGGTTTTACGGATGTATGCTAACTGCGCGCGAACAGCTACGAGGATTGGACTTGCGAGGAGCTTCTCCAGTAAAAGAGGAGACCGATGGCTTTCGTCACTTACGGGACAAAGAGAGACATGCACATACGACTAGATGCAAGGCACCTTATACCCATCTCCTATTGTCGTTGCCTCAAGAGTAGTCAGATCCGCCCCCCGGAGCCAGGTCCTCCTAATCCGTTTTATCCGACTCTCCCGAGCCTGCTCGCGTCACTGTTGCTACGCAAGAAGATTTTGAAGGACAGCAACACCCATCCCTCTTAAACAAAAAATCGATACACTGAAAGGCAGTGTACTGTAGGTTGATTCTGCATTAAGCGTGGCGTTTTTTTCGTTTTGTTCTTTTTTCTAGACAAAAAGAAACATTGGATTTTCAGACCATAAAAGAGTACCTTCTCGGCGTGAGACGCAACTCCACCTCATCCCCTCTTTTCTTGTCGATTGGAACTCGTCCCGCATCTGCTGCAGCCATCCATCCGAGAACTACATGGCTCCATTGCTCATATTCTCGCATGTAAGTGAAAGGTTGCCTGCCCCGTGACAAGCGAGAGTGAGACTCCGGTGGCCTCTCCGGCTAACGCGCCGGACTGGGCGAATCACGCAACAACCTACCTCCCCCATCAGATGCCATTTTCTTCTTCCCTCTCCGGCTGTAGTCCCTCGAAGACAGAGGGGTATGAACCTGGGATGTAGAAACGATGGGGCCTCTGCCCCTTTCGACAACTTCCTCGCCCTTTGCTGCATCGTGACGAAACACATTCTCTTCCCAGTAAATCTTGTTTTCTTGAGGTTGGTTGTCAAATGCAGAGCAGCACAGAGGGGAAGAGAGTGTGACCCCCACACTTACACGCTGGTAATGCTGGTCTTTCTGCGCAAGATGACCTGCTTCCTCTCGCGCCGGTACCATATCTAGACATTTGAGAAGCGAGTAGAGGCCAAGTGCAGCTGCAATGGGAACCTGCCGTTGCCATTCGTTTTGCCTACCTTTGAAAAAGTACTGACACTCGTCAGAAACCTTCCGCTACTGGAAGTAAGGGCACGACGCCACGAGCAGCCTCTCTTCTAGCCCAGTCGTTCTTCCGCCCAGCAATGACAGCAGCCGCGTCACCAACAATTCCTTCTGTCATATGACGGACTACCTCGGCCCGCAATCGTTGCCGTTGCACGGCGACGCCGCTGTTTACAGATCACGCCCATAGAGGACAGCCCGCGCTGGCTGACACGGGACCTCGACACCTATCCGCTGCGCCGGTGATCCAGCTTCCGTTCCCCAACGAATCTGGTCTAGGACAACAACGATACCAAGAGATTCCTAGCCGTCGAGCAGGGGAAGGGCTCCGAGGTATGTCGGTATCGGCCAGCTAGTCGTCTACAGCGGCGGACACTACGCGCTGGGCTGGGGTCTGTCTGCATACATCTTCTTGAGCCCTCGCACCGCGACGATCCGGCTGCATCGTTGGCATATAGGCAGGATATATCGGAGCAGGCAGAAACTAGACTGGGCGAAACGCCTGTTGAGTGCTGCCGGTTTGTCCCGTTGACAGCATCTGGTCCTTCTCTTTTTTCGGGCGGGGCAGTGATTGATGGCCGAAATGCTGACCCGGGAGTCTAGACCGTCTTCTGTACGAACATGATTAGGCACCAACCGCCTATCTCAGAGGTGAAGTTTGACGACGTGATGGTCGTAGGACCACAGAGTACTGGAGCATCCCCAAGGTATACAGTCGGTATGTACGGTCAATGAGCCGTTCTGCTATGTGTGCGCTGCAGACTAAAAGGGTACGCTCAGCCTGTTGGAGCAACCTCGGTGGCTGTATTTGCTATGTGTTGAGCGGCGATGGTTGGGCATCGTCTCATTATAGCGTTGGAGTCCGTTAGACGAATAGTGAGTATGCTTCTATGTTATGGTTCACTGAAGGACCATAGCCTCTGTATCAGCGAGCAATATCAGACAGCACGACCATCTCTTGGCGGGGAATAGCTCAGTCGCGAAGCTATATGAAAGGTTAGGACGCGCAAGAAACCCAGTTGAAAAGGTAGACTTGGACAACGAACCAGTCACGAGCCAGTTTTCTTTCATCGTCGAGAACGAAGTGAGGCCATGGGCAGCAGACATGTGAGCGCTGCGGAGTCTCTTCTGGCATGATGGCGGCGGCGACGTTCCCCAAGCGCGTGCTAAGATACTGAATGCCAATACACGGTTCGCCGTCGTGCGCGGATGGTTCTCAGTGTCTCCAATTCCACAAGGAACAACCCGGTGCTGTGGGGAGCCGGGCAAGCCGGCTGTATGGGCATGACGTTCTTTCAGTCATGGACAGATACACGGCGGTGCCATACCGCGGCCTGTCGCCCGAGCGGCGCCTCTTCGTTGTCCAGTTCATCACCTCGAGGGAAGACCGTGCAGAACTCAAGCCTGACGCATCCGCCGCGGGTGGGACCCGGTCCCGTTTCTGGATAGCTTCATGCTTCATGCCCTATCGATTCCAGCTTTCTCAGCTTTGTTTCGCAACAGAATCAGTCTGCGCTTGTTGGCGTTCCAAAAGATGATTCCAACGGCTCTGCTGGTCTGCAACAACAACTCACAACAACCACATTAACTTATGGTAGGGGGCTACATCGGTAGCGGCAGCTGTATACAAGAACCATCGGACGACCTCTGAGAAGCTTCCCAAATAGACGCCGGTTCTGTCGCTCACGTTCGTGATCGAAAACCGGGCCAGAGTCGAATCGGTCATAGCCCCTTGCAGTCCCATAACTCGCCATTCTCGAGGGGCACTGGTGCCTTGTCTCCGGAGATCCCGTTACAGGGCGAGGCACATAAGTTCTCGTCTCTTCTTGCCATGACTGTCACCCGCACCACGTGCCACCCACGACCGCGCCATTGCTCGTCCGAACCTGTACCGAATCGCTATCTCGATCTGGCTTTTCACTCGAGATCTCTGCGGTGTTTGTCTCGCTCTCTCCGGCTGTCGTGGAAGATTGCGAACGGACGGGCTCAGCGCTCTCAGGCCTCTCAAGTCCGTCGCAACGTTTGTTTTTGTGACAAGACAGACAGCATGAGCTTCTTTGACGCAGATATGCGCTCAGCGACGGCGGAACTACTTGCGGCGGCTGTTCCTACTGTCAAGCGGCCAGCAGGACGTCTTGCCGCTCCTGTTGCAGAGTTTGACGCTGCGCTGACATATCTGTGACCTTGCGCTCGAATGACATGGGACATTGTTGAATATGCGGCTCCACAACTTCAGCTAGGTGGGCTTCGCCAACACGATATCACGTCAAGCTGTATGCAAGAGACCGGGGTTGATCTGTAGGTGGCTCTGACTGACTTACGTGGTTCGCGACGAGGATGTAGGCTTCAAACAGGCAAAGCAGCTCCAGGAAACCAAGGTGTGACTTTTAGACCATCGAAGCATACTCCTCGCATGCTATTTGTCTATCGACCGTTTTTGGGGGGACGCGTAAGGTAGCTCGCATATTGACCAGCGCCTCGACGAGGACGAGGACAAATTACACCACACCGTAGGCAAAGTTTCAATGCCTTGGGTCGGGACTCAAACTTTCCGCGCTCTGGTCTCCTGATGAAGTATTTTGGCAGGAATGGGGTCAGTGGACAATGGGGAAAAGGGCAGAATGCGGCTGCGTTGGCAATGTGTGTGGTCTGGGAGGTTGAGTTGTGGCTTACTCGAAAAGTCAGGCAGGAAAGAACTGGTCCAGTCAGCTTCCGGGACAGGTACCGAAGCTACCTCTGCCTACAACTTAGGTGGGTGGGTGCAGTGTGGTACAGTGCGGTGCGGTGCGTTGCGGTGTTACCCCTCATGCCGATGACGCACCCCCACCTCACCAAGCCACGAGACAAGTAGCTCCAAGCTCTCTACTCTCTCAGCTTCCAGCTTCGCCGGTCCGGCGCGACAATGCGGGGTCTGTTGCAGCATGAGCGAAAGGACCTCTCTCCATTGAGCACTCACCCACCCCCCTCGAACGGCATTACAAACATAAACTGGACCTTGCGATTGCTTTCCGGGTAGCTTTACCACCTTTGGCAGGTTACACGCCCCCCCGATTCATCAATTCAAAGATACCTTGCTGAACGAGAGTCTCAAGGAGGGGTTGCTCCATCCATCCCCTGCAGAGCGCTCGACGGTACATGGTGGGGTAAAACTGGCATCAACACGACAAGAAGCAACGGTCAATGGCAGAATCGAAACGACGGGACGGGTGGACCGGGGGAGGAAAAGATACAGTCCATCCTAAAGCCAAGGCCATCATATCCCTCCTTCCTCCACTTCTCCGATCCGATCTCAATGGACTTAACTCGGGATTTTACTTATTAGGCTCATCGGATGCCACCCTCCTCTCTGCACTGCAACCATAGAATAATTCCAACCTGCCCCCCTCTTCTACTTCTTCTTTCATTGCTATAATCCTCGTCCTCTTCTCTTTTTTCCATCTCTCGCCTGTGCTTCTCCTCGAATTGAAAGCATTATACCCCCTTCTCACAAGTGATACCCCAAAAACAACCGCAACAATGGCCGCCGCCGCCGGGTTCAAGACCAAAGCATCCATCACCAACTTTGGGGGCCAGCTCCTCAAGCTCTCTCACAAGTCCTCCACCACCGGCACCGACATGGCTGTGAACCTCTACCTACCTCCCCAGTGCACCACCCGCGCCGTCCCCGTCCTCTTCTACCTCTCCGGCCTGACCTGCACCCCGGACAACTGCACCGAGAAGGGCTTCTTCCAGGCTCAGGCCTCGGTCCGCGGCGTCGCCATCGTCTACCCGGACACCTCCCCGCGCGGCCTCGACCTGCTGGGCGAGCGCGACTCTTGGGACTTTGGCGAGGCTGCCTCCTTCTACGTCGACGCCACCCGCGAGCCCTTCCGCCAGCACTACCGCATGGAGACCTACATCACAAAGGAGCTGCCCGAGCTGCTCTTCCGCGAGTTCGCCGGCAAGCTCGACCGCTCCCGCGTTTCCATCACCGGCCACTCCATGGGCGGCCACGGCGCCCTGTCTCTCTACCTGCGTCACCCGGGCATGTACCGCAGCGTCAGCGCCTTCGCCCCTATCGCCAACCCCTCCCAGTGCCCCTGGGGCGAGAAGGCCTTCACTGGCTACCTCGGCGACGACCGTGCCGAGTGGGCCAAGCACGACTCGACCGAGCTCGTCAAGAACTGGAGTTACGGCCCCCTGAACGCCCTCATTGACGTCGTACGTTGACTTCCTTTGCCTGGGTTGCGAGATAGTGTAGGAACGTGAGAATTCTGACCAGATATAAACAGGGTCTTGGTGACAACTTCTACATCCAAAAGCAGCTGCTGCCCGAGAACTTTGAAAAGGCCGTCAAGGAGAAGAACCTCGAGGGCCTGAACCTGAGATACCACTACGTGAGTCGGGCTACATCGACCCCGGATACGCAGCGGGACTGGAGGTGCTGACAATCACAGGGCTACGACCACTCCTACTTCTTCATGGCGTCCTTCTCCAAGGACCACGTAGACCACGCCGCCAAGCACCTGGGTCTCGGTAACCCCACCGCCTGACTCGAAGGCCGAAGCAATAGGTTGTAAACGAAGTAAATACCAGTGTTGACATGGTTGGACAGTGGCTTGATGTCGAAGCTGAAAGAGACGGATACCACGGAAGTTGTGTAAGCAGAGAGTGTCGCGTGTTGCGCATAGTCGAAATTTAGTTGTTTTTTTTCTTCTCTTTTCTCTTCTAGGAATATGCTGCTGCTGCTGCTGCCGCTGAGATTCTTGAAATTCGACCAAAAATAACCGACGCTCGTTCACCCATTCCCATCATGAACTTCGTGATGTGCATACCCAAAAGCAACAGCCCTTTCCCTTTTTGCGCATTCCACGTTGCGCGTGACATGAGTACTGAGCAGAAACGCCAGTGCCGGGTATAGAAACCGCCCGTCGTCGTGAAGGATATCTAGAAGATTGCAACCGAACCAGTGTGTGGAAGCGCCTAGCTGACCCGTTTCTCCACCTCGGTATTTACGCCCCCCTTTTCGAGCTTCATTCGCATCTCCATATCCAGCTCCTTGCGTATGCGGTTATACGCCAGTCTCTCGAACCGGCTGAGTGCGTTCCACCAATGCTGACCTGCCTCGTGCTCGGCGATGCGTTCTAACAAATCGGCCGTCTTGGCGCGCACTTCGCGGTCTTTATGAAAGAGGCCAAGTGCGATGTAGAACAAACCAGCGTGCGATTCGGGCGCCACGCTCAGTAGGAGACAGATCTCATCGTAAGAGTAGACGTATTTGGAGAACGCCATGTAGATTTCTTTGCTTTGCATCGGGTTCAACCGCTGCGTCCGTAGGCGGTCATGCATGTGGTGCAAGTCCAGACCTTTGAGCGGCTTTACCGTATACATGAGTGCGAGGTCCTGAGCCTGTCAGTTGGAGAGGCCCGGGGCTAGTCGTTTCATGGTCAGTTCTTACCTGGATGAAGCTGTAGTAGCTCCTGGTGTTTCGCCATCCTTCGATTCTCGTCACATTTCCTGCCAGCTCCTTGGATTTCGCCTGCTCGTTGGGCCACACGTAGCCATGCCCGTTGACCCCTACAGGCCCCGTCTCCAGCTCATCGCCACCAATGTAAAGAGCACTAGCACCATATACGCTCTCTTCGAAAGCAGCTGCAATTCGCGTAAATCTGATCACCCAGTCTCGCCATTTGGCGCGTATTACCCGCTCACCATGCCTGGCCGCTATGCTCCTCAGTATGTCTTGCATGAAGGCTATGTCTCCGGTGAGATCGCTCTCGGCCGCAACCTTGGAGGCGCCTCCAACGAGCCCAGCATATGCTGGATTCTGTTGTTGGAAGTAGACCATCCCCTCTGTCACGGGTGCCGGTTCAATTTTGCTACTGATCTTAACTCGTCCCGTGGGTAAGTCGCACAAGACGTCCCACCATTCAGGATGCAGCTCGAACGTTGGATTCGTGACACCCGCGATGAACCCAGGCACGTTGAGGAGATCATCGATCTTTGTCAGGTCGGTGTACGGGAACGCGTGCCGGGTGAAGCCCCTGAGTGTACCGCCGGATGCCAGGGCGCATGCCGCCAAGACTGCCTCCGCAACCTCGCCCGAAGGCATATTGTGCCCCAGGAAGATGACGCGCTTCTGCGTCAGTAATGCGTTGACTAGCACAATGATCGGGTGTGTATTCGGGCCGTTTGTTGTCAACTGCGCGTGCAGGGGAAAAGGCTGTGGCGCTTTGCCCTGCGGCTCAGAAAATTTCTGGATGAGTTTGATCAAAGAGAAGTCGCCTACGGTTTCGGGCATGACGGCAACAGGAACCTTGATAGGAATCGGGATGCCCTTGTACATGACTTTGCTTTCGAACTCGTGCGTATCGCGGGGTACCGAGTATTGTGACGACCCCTCAATATGAGCTTTTGTCCCTGCTCTGGAAACGCCAGGTAGCTTTTGCGAATCTCGGCTCGAATCAAAGGACAAATCGGCGAGGTGCTCTCCGCGGTCCTCGGCTATCCTCATTTGAATCATCTGTTCGAACTTCTCCACAAACAAGTCTTTGTTGTCACTGGCTAACAGCAAATGCCTCTCAAGCAGGCTGAGTTTTGGCATGAGAGACAGATCCATGGAGTTGACGGCATCGTACAACAAGGCCAATGTCTCGGGAACCGGTGCCTTAAAGTATTCGTCAAGGGCCAGCAGTAAAAGGGGCTGGGACATGTTAGTGAACAGAGAAAGGGGATAAAAGGTGCGAGGCGATGCCTGCTTGCCTTGTATATGTGCAGGAACGGGTGCCTGGTGCAGATTGCCATTGCTTTCACAACAGCGCCTCTCTTGACCGTCTTGTCCTGTTTTGTGTTGACCAGGTTCAAAACATAGATCAGAGGCGGCCCTTCCCCCCCTTCGGGTTCTTCATCGTCCGACTCGGAGTCGTCGAGCTCGTCCAAATCATCCAGCCTCACCTCTTCATCGTCCAAGTCCTCGCTGCCGTCATCTTCATCAATAATCCCAGCAGCTCGGTTGCGCAGGCGTCTCCTCCTCCTCTTCCTGGCCTCCTTCGCTTTGCGTTCCTCGTCCTCCTCCTCCTGGCTCGTGTCCTTGTGCAGGAAAAAAATAGTCCAATCCTGATTCCGAACGTGGGCCTGATCGGGTAACATGAGCTCCGCCAGCATGTGCTCGTCGCCGGTGATGGAGACAGGATATTGGTGCTCCATTACCGGGCCGCGGTCGATATCGAAAGAAGCGACCAAAATGTACTCGACATGGTTCTCGGTGGACCCACGAGGGTACTGTGAGCGCAGCTTACGAGGGGGATGCGCATCGGGGTTGTAGCGCCTCGGGGCGGATAGAGATGAGTGTTGTGAAGACACGCCGGTTGACGGCGTCTTGGACTTGGAGCTCGGGTTTGAAGAACGGTCCGTCTCGACAATGGGAGGCGGTTGAGGGGATCGCGACGGGCGAGACGTATTAGACATTGACGAAGGGGACCTCGAAGCTGGGAAACTGGAAAGTGACGTCCGACGACTGGGCCAGGGACCGTTGGGTGGGGGGTATTGTGTTTGTGTGTTGGAATAGTTGCGCGTGAGGAACGGCAATGCGGTTTGTGTTGAAGCCATGCTGAAGAGGCAGTGTTTTAATTGCGGAGGCGATCAGATGGGTGTATGGAAATTTGAGGGATTCGAAGCGTTGCGCAAACTGTCGGTAGCCAGAGCCATCCAGAATCGGATGCAGTCGAGGGGGTCTGTTCGGGGAGGTGCAGCAACTAAGGTTGTCTCCGATCGAGAAGCGAGGCAAGAAGGTTAATGGCTCAGGGCCAGTGACGTCTGAAGCGAGAATGCGACATGAACAGGACGACCCAGAAGGCGGGAAATTTGCAGTGAATCTCGATTGTCGTCGGGAATCGTAAAGGATGTTGGTCGTCGTCAGGCAGAGTCCTGGAAGAAAAGCCAAATGCAAAGCGTTGGTCTAGGGGGTGCGGGAAACGAGATAGGGAGGGCGGCAACAGGGCGATGAAATGGGTACGAGGGAGGAACGCAGGCGACGCGGCAGTACATGTAGTACGTACTGTACACTAATAATTGGTTGGCTGTACGGATAGGTAGGTGCGCAAACCCGTTCCGGAGTGGTATTCGTTTCCAGAGGTAAGGTATGCATGAGTGACCGTCTTCAGGTCCAGGGTAGTAGCGCGAGGGGGCGTTCTCAGACGATTGCCGAATGCGCTCTACGAAACGTCAGATGCAGGCGACTGATTGACAGCACCCAATCTCTGTCAACGAGCGAAAACAGGATCGCCCTTCGGGGATTAGAGGTGGTTACCGGAGAAGGAATATCCTGTTCCAAAGGAATTAAGAAGCGTCAGTGCGTGGAAGAGTAGATCACCGAGACACAACCTGCTACGACGTTTAGTTTGGTCTTTGCCTCTGCTCTTCTGAGCCTCCGACCGTTGTGGTACCTAGGTTGTTTCCTGGTCTTGAGTTCCAAACTGTCCATACCTCCTGACAGGGATGGCCTATGACATGATGCTTCTTTCTCTCTCACATGTACGGGTATTCATCTTACATTTAGATTGTGCAATTCAACTCGAACCGAACCCCCTCGTCGGTTCGAATAATGCTTAACTACTAAGGTGCGTCGAAGCAAGGCACACGCACCTCCTTCGGCCAAACATGGCGTTGGATTGAGATGGAGTCAGATCCGCCCCGAGAGGAATGCCATGAATCGGGCCTATGGTTGGTTACTATCCCCCCCCTCCCCTCCCTTCTTCTTTCTCACCTTCTACTACTGGCGGTCTTCCGTGTATCGCTCAGGGCCAGTGAGCGGTGACGATTGGAGCAGCTGGTGGTTACGGATAGATTCAGATTCAGAATTCTTCAGCGCGTATCTTGGAAAGCAAGCAGCTGCCAGTTGAGGGGTAATCAAACTTCGACTAAGAACTAGTCGCGCTAGGCTATGCTGTCAGTCGGTCTGCCCAAAGACTCAGAGCCCCGAGAGACGGACAGATGGATGGCACGTGGTTGACAATGCGGGCTAACATCTGTCTCCGTGAGCAGTAAGCCGTGTCCGCGGGAATGCGTCGACTAATTAATCAAAACATGCAAAGCAATGTCGATCTCGAATCTCAGTTTTGCATTGCCCTTCCTTCAATAGTGTGCTCCTCTCCTTTTGTTTTTTATTCCCTTATTTCCTTTCTCGGAGTCAGCAGCCCCCAAGGGTCCCCTTGGTCCCCCTCCCCTTTTCCACGTTCCCCGCCTTCCTTGTCCTCCCTGTTTTCCCCTTTCGAGAGAATAGGTGCTGTCGCACTTAACCTAAATTCCGGCTTAGCGCCTAGGGTACTCACATGAAACCCTTGTGGCTAAGGCGGCAGTGTTTTAGCACCTTGCCCAGCTACATGCTATCCCAGGCCACCAGCCATCAGCCACCACCAGCCACTGCTTACTGCATACCCCACTCATGAGCCTATTATCGTGCACGGACTGCATGGTGATGCAAGGCCGTCGTTGTCACGGAGAGGGCGCCTCTGTTTACTTTCAGCCCCCGAGCCGTTTATTGTCTTGTCTCTGAATCAATGCCTTGCCGCATAATGCATTGCAACGCCAGCTTGAATCCAACATAGAAGGCCATTTTCCCTCTCTCCCCCTTTCGAGAGAAAGAATCCGACACCGACGATACGACTCTTTTTCTGACCCATTATTTCTTTTTTCAAAATCGTCTTCGCCCCTTTCCGGCACTCCCACCACTGCCTCTTGGCTACCCCCATATTTCTGTCGCATTGTTTACTTTGGTGCCAAGTGGGCGCGCGGCATAGATCCAGAGCAAGGCTTCCCTCTTTCCCGCCCACATCTGTTCCCGCCCAGATCCCCTTTCAATATGGTAGGCTAGGGTCCATCTCGCGCGCAGATCATCAAAATCTCTTGGGAAACGCATGAATTTTGACCTGAAGAACCCACAACAGGCAATGCCCTCTAGCTACAAACCTTCCCCACTAGGGCCTCATGGCTCTCCTCGCAGCTCTCCGTTCAGAAGACCAGAATCTCCAGCATCACCATCAGCAGCGCGACAGCCCTCAACCCAAGTGACGCCCTTCGGATCGCCGACGAAAGCATCCTTCGCAACCAACAACGGACGCTTTGGCAACCCAACCACACCGACAGACACGGCTGAGATTCGGACACCTCGAGTACGAACGCCGACTGCCGAGACCACCATGGTCTCGCCACTGCCCCTCCGGCCAGGTTTGAAGAAGGCGATAAGCCACGGAAATGCGCTGTCGCAACTGCAGCCCGCCCAAGTCCGACAACTACGGGAAGGTTTCGAGATCTTGGATCGCGACAGTGACGGAGTCATCAACAGAGAAGACGTAGCGAGCATGCTAAGCCAGCTAGGTAAGGAGGCCGATGCACGAAAGACGAGGACGTGACTGATCTTACACATTTCTAGGCCTTCCGTCCAGCGCATCCGATGTATCACAGTTCTTCCCTCCGTCAGCCGCGCAGACGATGACGATGGCCGCCTTCCTCAACTCCCTGGCCACGATGTTGGCATCATTATCGCCCCAACCCGAGCTCCTCTCTGCATTCTCTGCATTCGACGATGACGACAGCGGCCAGATCGACCTCGCTGAGCTGCGAGATGCACTGCTCCACACGGCGCCGGAACCCGGCGAGCGGCCGTTGACGGAGGCCGAGGTCGAGAAGGTGATTGAGGGATTCACGGGCAGGAGGGCGTTCAACCGCCACATGCAAGGCGGCTTGGGCAACCGCCGCGAGGTCTTCAGATATCAGGACTTTGTCAACTCCATCATGGGGACTAACACGGCATCCGAGGCGGCATCTGCCGAAGGATCTGAGGATTAAAGTTGATTTGAGCGAGTAAACAAGGTATCTGGCGTATGAGAGAGAAACGGGGTCTGACGACATGTGCGAGCGTCGCATGTGGCGACGAGCGCTGCGGGGTGACGAGTACAATTGAACGGAAACGAGATTTGACGAATACATTCGGACATGACTGTACTTTTATTCATAGCCAAGACGTTGGATGGCGGTGGTGTCGGGTATAATTTCGGTTCGGGTTCACAGCATTACGGTTTTCATGCCAAGATAATCCGTTTGCCGCTGGGTAGCAGTGGCAGCTCGCTCCCGCAAAACCCATGTGACAATTGAGGGACGGCGGGAACCAGACTCGGAGGGTCAGATCGGGTGGGTACGGCCTTTCGAGGTAGACTACTCCGTATTCTCAACCCCAACATCCACGCTTGCGGATTTTGAGTAATGAGAAAGGCTGGGAAAACAAGTTGGTGATGGCAGTGCATGCGTCTTGTCTGCACCCGCGCTTGGTCCCAGCTTGCATATATGTACGTGTAGGATACTCGAGGAAAGCGTTTGGGCCCCGCCGTATCCCTGGATCTCATGTGGCCTTTTGTCGAAAAGAAGGCACTGGATGGGCAAAGCGACGGCATGGTGATGCCATAAGCTCGGTTTGCAGGAGGCTGGGAGCTGCAAATCGACCAGGGCCTCCCTCCAGCGCCTGCAGCCTGCGCTCGCACCCGCAGTGCAGCACGCATAGGTATTTCAAGGGGCGGGCGGTTGTGGGCTGGGACATGGGTCGGTTGGCTAGTCGAGTACCTACTACCTACTGTTGCTCTGGCAGCTGTCGCCTCACCCCCAACAAAGAGAAAATAAAAAAGATAAAAAATCCAGGGACTTTCCTCCCCTCTCTCCTCCTGTAACACGGTGCAGGTAGTGGCTCGGTCGGGTAGCATCAGAGATAGCAACACAAACTCCGGGAGGTTCGGGGTCCCGAAGGAGGGTGACTATAGGTGATAGCCAGAGCTGATTGGCCATGATTGCAGGGGTCATGACGGTGCCCCACCGAACCTTCTCGAACCGACCCGCTGGGTTGCCGTACATGGGAAAAGGCAATAGCCGTTTGTTGCAAACGCCTCGATATGTCGATTGGGCCTTTAAGCCGTTGCCGGACATCGGACTACAGGAAAAAATTGGTCTTTGGGGTATTTGTCACTCTGAGAGTTAGCATGGGATTTCTGGAGAGGCCGTCTTTTGTACGCTTTCTATCTTCATTGCCGAACCATTTCATCAGCTCTCAGTAGCCTCCATCAGTCAGGTCTTAGCTACCTTGGTCCCCTGTCAACACCTTGACGCGATTATGCTCTGGGGTCTGGAGCTGAAGACCCTCTAAACGGAGGCTGAGCGTGTGTCGAGCTCCTCTCTCGCGTACCAGGAGCCTACCCGTCATCCTGGTCCGGGTCCTGGTCTAGGTCCAGTACCATGAACCGTACGCTGGCAGGTCCATCTATGCAACATCTACCTCGTACATCTACCGCGCGTGGTGCACAATCGGCCACCGAAAGAAATGAAACAATTCGAAAGAAAGATAAATAAAGAGGGAAAACAATAGGTGGCTAGGAGACGAGACAGCTTGGAACCACGACCAGTGGCTGTCGTCCGACGATCTTGTCGTCCACCCACCACTCGGCAGGTATTGTGGTAAACAAACTGTGACTTGGAGGTTGCCATTGGCTCCTCGTCGGCTGCTAGTAGTCATCGGAAGACGGGACTGGGCCGTTTGGACAAGCTTCCTGTGGGGTGATGTTGTGAGCGGGCGACTCCAAGTGGTTCTGGTTACATCACACGCAGACATTGGCACAGGCGCCTCTGCATGTACTCAATACGGATACCATGCATGGTATAATGGCCATTGGTGATGCTACTGATGACTTCTCCCTCGTCCTGCCAATGAGAGCTTCCGTGCTGCAGGCCCAGCACCCCCATTGCTGGACACACGTACGCACGATGTGTTTCTCTGAGGAGGAGGTCGTCTTGGGAGCCAGCTCTTGGACATATCATATACATTGTACATTTCTGCATGCCCAGTCCAGCACTGAGGCAGCATCCAGGACCTTGTCTAGTCAACCAGACACCCAGTCGAGTCTCCGTCCTTCCCGTTAGGCGCAAACCCAGGCCTTGTGTAGTGTAGTTAGGCGGGAAAAGCAACAGGAGAGACGGGGAAAATTGTGCACAGCTGATCAATCGTGAGAGGTGCCTGCTTCCGACCCCTGGCCGAGTAGCAAGGCTCCTCACTCGCCTCGCTTGTTGTTTGGGTTTAATTTTGGTACCTATTTCATCTCTGTTCCTGCCTTGGGCCACCGAGAAAACGACTGGAGCAGAAAAGCAACAACTTTGTGCATTTCACATCTGAAGCTTGCCACCGACCTCCTCTCCTACTTGCTCACTTGCTTGCTTCACTGCTCATCAGTACTGGACAGCTTGTTCTCCTCTTGCCCCTCCCTCGCTCATCCATCTGCCTTTACCTTCTGCGGATCCTCTGGTCGCTCAAGCGCCCTGCTACCTCTTCCGCCAGCTGCATCTGCCCTCCAGTGCCCACTCTGATGGGCTGTATTTCCCCTGGCCGAGCCTTCTCCTCGCAGTATTAGCCTGGGCTTCCTTCCTTTCATAACTTTGCCTCCCGAGAGCCGCCCAACCTCTCCCTGCTCCTTCTTCCTCTCTCACACACACTCCTCTTCTCCTCTTCGTCTTTGTATTCTTGGACTTCTTTGAGACGAAGCTGAATACCCGACTGTACGCGTATACCGCACCAGCCGTACCTTACCGCATTCCATTCCATCAAGACGAGTCGAGCAAGGTACCACTCCCTACCTTCCACCAGGCGCACCGGTGAGCACAAGCAAAAAAAAAAAAAAAACACCTTTTTTTTCTTTCTTTTTTGGCCTGTCCACCCCCCTTCACTAGGCCCGTTAATACGCTTTGGGGAATCCGGTGCACAAGCATAACCTTGCATCGAGGTTACCTACCTAAACCAACAAAAAAATAAGCCTGCGCATTCTTTGGTTCCCCTCAGAGGGTGACTGCTTTATCAATGAAGCTCTTTGCAAAGAAATCGTCCAAGAAGCAAGGCCAGGACGACGACGACCACAACCAAGATTCGAGCTACTTCCCCCCCTCTGAGGCTTCTTATCCTGCGAAGTCGCCCATCAAGCCCCGATCTCCCACCAAATCTCCGACAAAGTCCCCCACCAAAAAATCCTCCCAGCCCGCATCCCCAAGCCCTCGGGAGACAAAGTCGTCGCGCACATCCCGCACTTTTGGACGCCACCCTACCGATCCTGGATCACGCAGGAGTAGCAAACTTGACCTTGACTCCCACCCTCTTAACCTCCCTCCGGAAGAGCGTGCAAAGAGACTGTCTGCCCTGTCAGCCATGAGTGGTAACGCCATGGACGTCGACCGTGAGTCGAGCGCAGCGCCGTCGTCGCCTGTTCCGGCGCCTGTTCCGGCTCCTGCTGCGGTGCCCCAGCAATCTCCCGCGCAGTCTTCCCCCTCTACCCCCAAGCTGAATGGCATCAACACCAATGTCAACGGCGACGACGATGCCCCGGCTCCACCCCCTCATAAGTCAAACCCCTCCAGCCCAGTCCCCACGACCGAAGACGAGGCCGAGGCCTACAAGGCTGCGGGCAACAAGTTCTTCAAGGACAAGGATTACAAGAATGCTATCCTTCAGTACTCCAAGGGTATGTCTTGCTGTTAGTTGTGAAACCGACGAGGCCGCAAGTTAACAAGTCCGCTCCAGCTATCGAGTTGATCCCCGACTCGTCCACTTACCTGAGCAACCGTGCTGCTGCCTACATGTCCAATACCCAGTACGAGTACGCCCTCGAGGACTGCACCCGGGCTGCCGACCTGGACCCCGAAAACCCCAAGATCCTTCTCCGACTTGCCCGCATCTACACTAGCTTGGGCCAGCCCCAAGAGGCTCTTCTTGTTTTCGGCCGCATCAACCCTCCCCCCTCCGCCAAAGACCAGGCTTCGGCCAGGGAGATGCTCAAGCACGTCACCGCCGCCCAGAGCGCTCTCCGTGACGGAACTGCCGGCTCAATGGTTCTCCATGCTCTTGACCAGGCGGAGCGTCACTTGGGCTTCGGCGCCTCCAGACCTCGCAAGTGGCAACTCATGCGAGGCGAGGCATACCTTAAGATGGGTAGCGCCAATGCCCTCGGCGAGGCGCAGAACCTCACCATGGCCCTGCTCAGGTATAACAGCCAGGACCCTGAGGCTCTGGTGCTTCGTGGCCGCGCTCTGTACGCCCAGGGCGAAAACGACAAGGCCGTCAGCCACTTCCGCAAAGCCATTAGCTGCGACCCCGACATGAAGGATGCGGTCAAGTATCTAAGAATTGTCCAGAAGCTCGACCGCATGAAGGAGGAGGGCAACTCTGACTACAAGATGGGCCGCTGGCAGTCCGCCATCGAGAAGTACAGCGCTGCGCTCGAGGTTGACCCGACCAACCGCGGCACCAACTCCAAGATCCTGCAGAACAGAGCGCTGTGCAAGATCAAGCTGAAGGAGTACGACGGCGCCATTGCCGACTGCGAGCGCGCCATCAGCCTGGACTCAACGTACCTCAAGGCTCGCAAGACCAAGGCCAACGCTCTTGGTCAGGCGGGCAAGTGGGAGGATGCTGTGCGGGAGTGGAAGTCTATTCAAGAGCTCGACCCCGAGGACCGTACCATCCCCAAGGAGGTGCGCAGGGCCGAGCTCGAGTTCAAGAAGAGCCAGCGCAAGGACTACTACAAGATTCTCGGTGTTGAAAAAGACGCCGACGACAACCAGATCAAGAAGGCCTACCGCAAGCTCGCCATCATCCACCACCCGGATAAGAATCCCAACGATGAGCAGGCTGCCGAGCGCTTCAAGGATATCGGAGAAGCTTACGAGACCTTGAGCGACTCTCAGTAAGTCCAACGTTCTTTGAAGAGGAGTAACTCTTACTAACCATCTCCCACGTAGGAAGCGCGCTCGCTACGACAGTGGCGAAGACCTCATCGACCCGTCTGACATGTTTAGCGGCGGTGGTGGTATGGGTGGTATGGGCGGCATGGGAGGCATGCACGGCGGCATCGATCCCGAGATCCTGTTCAACATGATGGGCGGCGGCGGCGGCGGCGGATTCGGTGGTGGCGGCGGCTTTGGTGGCGGCGGTTTCCCCGGGGGCGGCGCACACTTCAACTTCGCCGATGGTGGAGGCGGTCGTCCGCGCCAAGGCGGTGCCGGTTTTGGTGGCCGCGGCTTCAACTTCTCGACCTGACAATCCGAGTCGGAGGAAGATGAAGCAGCAAACTACGACGAGTCTGCCGAGCCAGGACCGAAGGCAGGCGGCTCGTTCGCCCAGGAGTCAGGGAAGAGCCACACAAAGCGGCGCCGAGATGAAGGCGACCGACTTGTGGACAAGATCCGCCGGTATGGAGTCTGGATCGTGGCCGCCCTGGTCCTCGTCCCCGCGCAGCTCCTTGTACTGGCGGTGGCAGCTGTGGGATTCGTGTACATTTGCATCATAGGGGCCCGGAAGCTGGGCATACGGCTCCGCGGCGAGGAGTGAGCTTTCGACTTCGGACCTTGGCATTCGGGATATGTTTTCTTTTTTCGGGATAGACGATGACGCACAGAACAAGTCGCACGCTCACACACACACACACACACATACACACACACTTATACACCGGCGGCGTTTTACCCAGGCATCAAAACCGTCTTCGTGTTGTTTTCTTCTTTATTTTTGCCGCTTTACTGTATGGTAGAGAGAAGGAGAAGGAGACAGCAAGAGTCATGGCCCCAATCTTATCAACACCCCGAACTCATGGGAAATGTAAAGAGACAAGAGCAGAAAGAAATGGGAAGGGGCGTCTTTATACATCTCGTGGAATGCAGGATGCTGTTTTTACAGTCACGAGGTTGGGCATAACTGGCACTTGTTAATGGATAGAACTGTAAGCGTCTCTTGGTTGGGGACGCCACGCCAGCCAATATCGTTTTGACTCGTTCCTAAAGACTGTTCTTGCGCTTTTTGTTGTGCCATGTTCTACACGTGGCTATGGGTATCAAATCTTTGCGCCCTGCTTTCCGGGTGCGCCACCGTCCTTGGGCCGTACACGTCACCCCCCCCCCCCCCCCCCCCCCCCCTTTTCCATCTGCTCCGTAGCCATATCGGTGCCCCAACCTTAAAATGACTTTGTGCTATGGTCAATCGCACCCCTTCCTTTGGCCTTTGGCCAACTCACAGAAACCGGGGAAGGGGGTAGGGGAGAAGCACCCCCCACCCGCCTGCTCACTCCGCCGTCCCAGGCCTTCCGCTCCCGGTAACCTTTGTGCTCTCCAGGACCCGCGCCACGTCGTCGCGCAGCTCGGGCATGCCGCGCTCGATGTGATCGGCGAGGACGTCGCGGAAGCGGGCAAAGGCGCCCATCTTACCGCGCATGAGCTGGTTGCCGCGGCGGACGAGCTCGACGAACTCGCGCGTGTAGATGTCCGGGTTACGGCCGTTCTCCACGTACTGCACGAGCTCGGGAGGGATCTTGGGGAGGGCGCCGGGCAGGTCGGGCGACGGGGGCGCGCCGGCGACGGCCGTCATGTGCACGCGCTGCAGGGACTGGGAGAGCGCCTGGACGGACTCAGCGAGCGCCGGGCCCGAGGGGTTTGAGGGCGTTGCGTTGTAGGTCGTCACCTGCACCATGATCTGATACAGGTCCTGGATCGTGTCCTTGAGCTGCTCTGTGCATGGAGGAGGGAGGTCAGCGCAGGTAAAAAGGGGTAGAAGCAGGCCAAGGAAGGGGGGTGATGCGTACGCTCCAGCTCCTCGGGAGTTGGTTTGTCGAGAGGCGCCATCTTGGGCGGTTGATATGGTGTTGTTTTTTTCTCGTGTTTCTCGCGGGGCCTTCGTGGCTTTCGTGGCTTGGGGAAAGGCGATCGTAGGTGAGCTGTCTATGGCGGGCGACTCGCGACCTGGGTCGCTGTCAAGGTTGAGTTGCGATGCGAGGGACGAGGCTGGGTATGGGCGGCTGCTGCCGGCACACCTTGAACACGTGTGTGGGGTAATTAGGTGCTGTAGGGGTAGTAAGTGCAGCTGCGATGGGATCGGGGCCGGTGGTTCCTGGCGCCGCGGCCGTCATGCAGCGACACCCCAGCCTTTCATAATGGAAGAAGCTCACTCGTGAACCCCTCCCCCTTTCTACATAATTCTCCTGCAGTTCATACTTGGCTCCCTGCCGGAATAATACAACGTCAGCGAAAGATAGCATTGGGAGCCCTGTCCGTGACTAAGCGTTTTATTTTGAATTCTGCATGTCGCACTACTGCTAGTGGTAAGGATATCGCTCAAGTACTTTGTTCAGGACCCTCAGAACCCATCACTTCCCGCCGAACAACTTTCGAAGAGCTTGCATGTTCTTCTTTTTGCCCAACTCCTGGGGCGAATCCGCTCCGTTAAAGAGTATTCTGTCCGTACCGTGGTTCTGTCCGTGGTTACTGATGCTTTCGCTCATCATGCTCGCCATCTCCCGTGACAATTCCAGACCAGCTTCACGGCTTGCTCGTCTAGGAGCAACCACGGCAGGCTGTGTGGTCCGTAGCCGCGGGGACGGCGACCGGATCGGATTGTACAGCTCCAGATACTCAGATGACTGGGGCGGAGGTGTTCGCCGGACGACGCTGCGCCGTGTGATGCGGCGAAGCTGCGGTGGCGGGGTCTTGTACCGCCTTATCTGCTCCGAGGGCGTTTCCGGTGGCGTGACATATCCCGACGACGTCGTCGTGCCCGACTTCTCGAGACGCTCTAGACGGGACGCTATGCGCGACGAAGGGCGTTTGAGGGGTTCGTTGCTCACCCAGGAGAGGGGCGGCGCGCGTCTAATCTCGTGAGGCGTCCAGACCGAAGAGGACCCTGGCGGGGTTCGCAGAGGTGATGCAGGACTGACAACTGTACCAGGTCGTTTGGTCAAACCAGGTGACGCCGCTGACTCCAATTTTGAAGTTTCTGATGTTGATGTGGCCAGTGTCTGCGCGAGCTCCGCCAAATGCCGACGGGGGATGTTAGCTCTCTGCCATTTCTCTTCCAGTTGTGCAGTCCTGGGGAAGGGCTGCATCCATATCGGTATGGGCTTCGTCGGACTCGGTCGGAAGGTAGGTTGGCCTATGGGATCGTTGATGGAGACGTATATCGTGGACTCTACAGGTGGTGTTGCCGGGTACTCCCTAGCCTGGTCGTGCGATCCGTCTCCCGCTCGACGGAGAGAAGACGAGTCTCGGCTCAGCGTTCGAATGGACTGTGACTGGGTCAGTAAGAGCCCATTCTCCTGTCCGGGTGACTTACCGCTGGGGCCCTTCTCAGGCGTCCTGCCCTGCCCTCGCCAGCATCCCATCTCGCCCGGCTCAAACCACCGTCTGCCCTCTCAACCCTCGCCAGCCCCTGCTGCACCACGTCCTCTCCCTCCGTACTCAGATAACAAGCAGCACAGAGCGGCGGCACTTCAACCTCCCTCATACGCCCCTTGCCAGACGTCCCGGCAACTCGTCGCATTGTGCTACTGCTCCCTTCCTCATCAGCACAGTGGCCCTCGTCGAAGAGCTCCAATAACGGTACGCCACGATGCACCAGCTTGCTGCCGCAGAACAGACACCCGTAATACGAGCGGTGCCAAAAGCACTATCCCAGGCTGACGCACTCGTCGCCACGGTAGACGATCTCCCCGCAGACCCAGCAGATGGCGAGGTCAATGAGCGCCGCGTGGCAGGCCGAGCATGCCAGGCGTGCCTCGTGGCCGACGACATGAGGGTCCTCAGACGTCTGGTAGCAGAATGTACAGGTGAACGAGACCGAAGCACGCGGAGCCATGTTATCAAGGGAGGCACCGTATGATGTTATCGGCAACAAAGTATATGGGGGGGGGGGGGGGGGGGGATGAACATGAAGCGGACGTTAGGTTTCTGACGAGAAGTGAGGTGTTTTTGTTATGGCGCAAGGTAGGGTCGACTTGGCTGTTCACTGCTGAAGATGGCAGCTGCTTCAAGAAATGGAACAAATCGACCCCGCTTGCATGGTACGTTCCCGCAACTGCCGCTCTTCAGCCGGCGTGACTTGACTAGGAATATCAGATCAGCTCAAATCGTAATGCCATTGTGTTGTAAGAGTACAACTTTTGAATACCCGAAAGCTCAGCCAAGGTAAACCATGACGGATACCTAAACAAGACAACCCTTTGCTAACTCCAGTCGATAGGTATGGTACAGATGAAACATGAACAACGCAGAGGCCAATACTTTCTCCCCAAGCAACCTCCATGGTTCGGCCTACCCAATCCTTTAAAAGCAAAACATTCTGGTTACGCCGGTTGTGTACCCCTGACCCCGTACTGTCAATGGCATCAGTTGTCGGATGCAACTGACAGTACGTGCTCCACCCTCCAGATATTCGTGTTTGTCGTCATATAATACAGGTTAGCGACACCAAAGCTTGGTATCGCAAAACAACGGGTGGGTTCATCATGCTCCCAACCATCGTTCGTGCAATGTTCAACGTCGCATCTTGGGCTTCGCGAGCATGTTAAGTCGGCTTAAACTCATGCCGCTGCGCTTCATGGGGCTAGGCGAAGGGGCAGTCCGAGAACTCTGAATCTTCTTGCCCACAGTACCGGGGGTCGTTCCCATAAGTCTGGGAGCAAGGAGAGCATCGCCCTCGGGAACATACTCGGCCTTACGTCTCTTGCCGGCTCTCTCAGCTGGCTTCTCTTCAAGGTCTCCCTCTTCTTCACGGGCCCGAGCCCGCTTCTTGTTGGGCATGCCGTGGGGCTTGCCGGCGAGCAGCTGCATGGGGGACCTATTCTCCTTGTTCGCGGCGAATTCGGTGCCGGCCGGGAAGCTACCCGGCATGTCCAGCGAGGGCCGGACATGACGCAGGCTAGCCTGTCCAGCAGACGATCCAAAGCCAGTGGGCGAGGCGCTACCAAACCGGATTGTGTGGTCGCTGCGGAAGGTGAATGTGCCAGGAATGGTCGGGGGCAGGTCGTTGTTGCTCTCAGTCAACTTATCTGCGGTCTTCTCGCTCGCCTTCTCAGACGGGCTGTCGACATTTAGCTCGGGATAGAGACCATCATCCTCCTTTCTCTGGGTGACGTTGCCGAGCATGGCATCAAGGCTCGGGTACTGGACCTCTGCCTGCTTGCGGATGGGAGTCATGCTGGCAAAAGCTCGATGTGCGATTGTATTGGGAGCAGCAGCAGCGGCGGTCCGATCAGTGTCCGGAGTGAAGTCGACCCTCTTGAACAGTTTCCTTCGCGGAGTTGTGAACGGAACGGCCTGCAGAGGCTTCTTATCCGCCATTTGCGGTGCAGGGGTTTGCGAGGTACCAGAGGCGGGTTGGGGAATAGCGCTCTTCGTCTGGTCCAAAACTCCCTTGCCGCCGCGCAGTATTGACTTGACTCTTTCAAATCGGCCTGGGCTCACAATCCTGCGTTTCAGCTCGGCCGTCTTCTCCAACGCAGTCAGGTTGTTGGTCGTGGAAGACTTTGTGAGACCACCCAGCTCAGGCTTAGAAGGCGACTTTCTAAGGCTTCCAAGCTCGGGCTTCGAGGGAGACTTTCTGAGGCTTCCCAGGTCGGGCTTGCTAGCTGACTTTGTCAGCGTGCCGGGAAGAGGCATTCTGCTGCCGGTGGTGCGGGCCAGCGAAGAAGCGGTAGGGCTCGTCAGGGATGCCAGGCTAGGTTGAGATCGAAGGCCAGCAGGGGCGTCGGTTCCGCTCGACTTGGGGCGCGGAAGAGAACTACCATCGCGAGAAACAGGTCGAGCCGAAGAGGCGTCGTCCTCAAAGCGTTGTCGCACACGCTTGACGGAAGCGGGAGGCTCGATGAGGGCGAAGAGACGAGCCTTGGGTCGAGAACTGAATGGAGCGTTCTTGGAGTCGCTAGAGTCCGTGTCGTCTAGATTGGCCTTGGAGGGAGACCGCTTAAGGCTTGCTTTCTGCTGAGTGGGCGTGCCAGGCACGCCCAGGTTGGTCCTCGAAGGCTGCTTGAGAATTGACTTTGGATGAGTCGGTGTGTCTTGGAGGTTTGCCTTTGTGGGAGACATTTTAATACTAGATTTCGGATGCGTGGGGGTGTCGTCCAAGTTGACCTTGGAAACGGACCGCTTCAAGCTAGACTTTGCTTGAGTGGGCGTGTCATCAAGGTTGGCCTTGGATTGGGTACGCTTCAAAGAGCCCTTGAGCGGAGTGACTCGGCCAGCTTGGGCCCGGAAAGATGAGGGGTGACCTTCGATAGAGTCCATCTTCTTGAACTCGGCCATGTGGGCGGCGCTGTAGCGACCAGACTTGCCCCGGGCCTTGGCAATCCTGCGCCCGCTGATTTCTTCATCCTCTCTCTCCAGCTCGCGCTTGGCGAGCAGCTCCATTTTGATTTTGGCGGCTTCCTCGCGCAGCTCGTTCATCATCTGCTGGGCGTCGTTGCTCAGGCCGGTGTCACAGGTAGGCTGCGCAACGCGGAAGGTGAAGGGCGACTCAGGCACGCCGGTGGTCTTGGAAGGCGTCGTCTGGTGGTCGGCGTTTTTGTCGGAAGGCTTCATGTCTCTGAAGCCAAGCCAGGTAGCCGAGGGAGGTGCGACAGTGTGGTGTACTTTGCTCGGGTGCATTTCGGACAATGGCGCCTTCATGTTTGTAGATGAGGAAGGAGTGGCAGGATCGTGGTTGGGAACAACGAGGGCATTCAGGCTCTTGGCAACCTCTTGCGATGGAGGGGTTTCGTCGCGTTCGGCGACGGCGGCAAGAGCAGATTTGGCTTTTGGCTGGAAAATAAATAAAATGTTAGTTGGGGTCCGCGAGTTGCTGTTGTTTTTGTTTACACAAGCGGTCAAAGAGCTTCCTCACCTTCGGTGTGTTTGCACTGGCCAAACGGGCCGAGCGACGGCGGGGCGGCGACATTGTGATTAATGGCTGGTAGTGAGCGTTATCGGCGTCGTTTGCTGGAATGCCGGAATATCAAAAGAGAGCGAAGAAGCAAGACGAACGAGGTCGATCCAGCGAGGCCTTTGTGTTGAAGGACGAGAGGTAGATGATGTCAGGCGAGAGCGGATAGGGTTTGTTTCGGTAAGGAAGGTAGAGGTAGGTAGGTAGGTACGTAGAGCGCGACGGGGATCGGTGTGGAGGGGCTTCTCGTTTGTTTACATTGCGCGCCGAAGTTTAATTTCTGATTGGATGGAAACGAAGAGACGGTCCAAGCTCCTGACCCAGGTCTGCAGCGGGTGAGATGGGGCCAGAGTGGGAGAGACCGTGTTATTCACAATATTTGCGGCGAATTTACATTGAATCTGTGCGGCGCCTCTCTCTGGTCTTCGTGATCCGCCCGGTGTTGACCCATACTTGGATGGCCCTCGGGTACTCTTCATGGGTTGTAAACAAGGGGAACGCGTGGCTACGGAGCCCCCTTCTACGATGTACATCGTACTAATTCTCGAACTGTCTCTTGTTTCATAATACTTTGTGCATCTCGTCTTGTTTGGAACTGATGCAACGTCTGCCATGGCACGTCTTCATCGTCACCCCTGCCACCATCATTGGAACCCGTATTTCTTCGATGTTCTGTATAGGACCGAACCTTCAGGCCCTTGGCAAGGATGAACGTGGTGGGACTGCACGTTGGACCTAAGCTTTAGATGGCAACTACAGCACAAATTCGGCTCGAGTCACCACAACTAGGAACATGACCTGCCGTCGCATCAATTGTCACGAACCTTACCGACCTTTCCTTCTTGGCTGCAATCATTCGGGTTTGCTTTATTTATACCCTGCCCCATGGTGTTTGACCTACTTCCTGACTCATTGATATATCTCGACCGGTGCATGATAGCAGTAATGGTAACGCATTGTTAACTCGGAGCGAAATGTGTGGAGATATGTCTCTTGGCCAGCCTGAAAACCATGACCCGACGGCGAGAAAACACCTTGACCCAGGCGGTCGACAGGGCAAGGAAAATTCCCTTCTGCAATCGTGATAAATAAAAAACCGCCTCGTATATCAACAGCAGCGGAGTATCGGCGAGGTTGTTCTTCACCACGTGGCTAGTATGTGCCGCCACTCGGAATCTCGAGAGCCAACATGATTGATTAGCCCCTCTAGCGTCATTAAAAAGAGGAACGTATATACCATATCTAGTCTGAACTGTATTCCACAGGTTGGTTTATCGTTAGGCAAAATTCGACCGGGGAAAAGAGGTGAAGGACGAGCTCTTTGGTACGATATCGAGTTTGGCCCATTTGGCTGGACTGGAAGGGGAACACACTCCAATGCATACAATTCTTGCAGAAGACCAGCTGCCGCAATCTTCCATGCGGAATTAATGGCCGTCCAGCTCCGAGGCATCGCGGCTTTTATTCTCGTCTTTTCATTTCTCGTTGCTCCTGAGTTTCAACGACATCACAGGTTCTAAGCTTCATTAGTCTTCAGACAAGAAGACTGTCAAGCCCCTTAGGTATTCCCGTCAGCCATTATTGTGGCTTCCGAAACTGGCGGAGAGTATGTTCCGAGAGACTGAGAATGTCCTATTGTAAAACATGGACTCAAACAACGGATACTACCTATGTAGGCTAGAGAGCGCACCAGTGGCGCTTCGCTCTGGATGTAACGCACTTCATGTGATCAAAGGTGTTGTCTCCACTCTTTCTTTTTACTTAACTCGGGAGATATAAGACAGGCAACTTGAAGATGATATCGTCTTTTAACTACCGAGGTAGCCTGGGAGAATGATATGAAGGATCTCTTGACCTGTCAAATTAAGTGCAGAGAACACGATTCTAATGAGCACAGCGATTCGCATGCTGCCCTTTCGACTCAGCTACCATGACATAATCGTGCCAGGCACGTAAACTGCCAGTGCTCGCGAGACAGGGGCGGCCAAAAGCCGAGCTCAATGGAGCACGACAACCGGCACGAAAGTAGACATGGACCCGCGCTCCTACAACCTGAGCTGATAGGAAGATGCAGGATATGCTTTGAAATCTGCGCTATACTTCGGCTCGGAGGCCGCCGCCTAGACACATCATAGATCTGCCGGAGCTCGAACATCCTCAAATGCTTCCTGAAAGGAGAGCTGTGCGATCCTTAACACCCCACGCGGTGTCGATACATGGGACCGAACATCACATCGATTTAATTGCTGCCACCGGGGCTTGCAAATCGCCTTGATCTGTTTCGGGGACTTCTTCCGCTTCGCTCTTCTTCAGCGCGGCCTCCGCCTTAGCTCGCCTCTTCCGCGCCCGCCGGACTTCGATCTCCACGTCCTTCATCTCGGCATCCACCGATGCCAGCTGCGGAATGATGTCTTGAACAGCCTGCACCGAGAGCATCTGCGCCTGTCGCAGAGGTAAGGGCGCCAGGATGCCGAACCATCGAAGGGGGTCTTTGCTCGTCTTCCTATGCTTCTTCGTTCTTACGTCCTCCTCCGCTTGGGTCTCACCCTTGCCCCCGTCAGCAGACGTTGTGTCGGACTCATCATGCGGAGCCTCATCAACGCCACCAGGCACTCGCCCCTTGTCCTCCTGGCCCCGAGCCTCACGGGTCTCCGCCTCGGCCTCCACGGCCGCTGTCTTTGAGAGCGTCACGGCGTCTGCAGACTTGACGATCTCAAAGCGGGGAACACCCCTGCCGTCTGCAGAGACATCGAGGACCCTCAAAGCCTGCATGCGCTCGTCGTAGTAGTCGGGGCCATATCGGATGCCCCTCTCTGCAGAGAAATTGGCTCGTGCGATGTTTTGATACATGCCGGCCTGGGCCTTGCCGAGGCGCTCGCGCAGAACCGTGTATTTATCCAGCAGGACGAGGTAGCGCTCCAGCAGGCTGTCGATGTGGTCCGTCTCCATGTTCGCGTGAACGTAGGAATATGTGATGCGTGCTGCTTGTGTTGGTGAGGAGAGAGAGGTGAGCCGGCAGCAGTATGGCTGGTGTACAGCGTTTGGTGCCAATTTACAGACTGGTTGGCTTTTGTTCGTTGTGGCTGATATATGTACTGTGATAATGTCGTCAATGTTGCGGAGAGCAGGCTTTCTGACTCTAGGCGAGGAAAAGGGGGGGGGTTGAGTTGAGTTCCCGTAGCCTATAGGGCTACCGGTATGAATGAGTCGATAATCAGCTGTAAGCCGCAAAAACAAGGGATCTTGTGGCTTGAGCGATGATCTGCACGGAGGGAATGGTATGCAGGGGTCGCCCAGAGCCAGTGATTTCCAAGACCCAAGTCTGCGGCTGTGGTAGCGGTACTTGAATCTCTCGAGATGCCATGGGCCAGAAACATACTGCTACTTCGTATCAGTACTTTGAGCATACCTGCCTACCAACCCCCGTTCTGCGAAGCAATCAGTGCAATCGGAGCAATTTCCCATGTGCGACTGCTCGACATGTCAAGAGCTCCATCTAAATCATTTCCGAGCGGGCAACATCACACGCCAAGACCGACTTCTACTGAGGAAAACAGCCGAGCAAACAACATGAAAATAGAATGCAATGCAACGGCGGTGGCCCTGCGAATTGCACGAAGACCAGGGCAAAATCGAGGGCTGCCAGTAAACCCAGATGGGAACAGAACGGCGACGTCGTCCAGTCCACTTCCCTTTTGAAGGCTCTATAATGCTCTCGTGGCCCACGCGGCGATTCTGGCATGGCTTCATGTTTCAGTTTTGGATATTGATGGGGACGATGGCCACTGGTGCGGTTGGGCCAGCAGGGGAGGGACACCGCCCGAAAAAGGATATGACAGTCAGGGAAAAACCACAGTCATTGCAAGGCCTGTCAAGAAATGGTCCGATGACCCGTCAAGACTTATTTCCCGTCGCCAACGGCAAATATCGAGCACGAACAGGGGGGTTGTTTCCTCTGCGTCGGCGATACCCGTTCTTGGTCACATAGGACCCTTGGCGGCGACGACGGATAGGATTGAAGATGAACGGCTAAAAGGCAAGCGACGAGCTTGGATCTCATTTGGTAGTCGGAACGATGGTGGGAAACCATAGACGACGGGGGCATGATGCGAGGTGATATAAAGGCCGGGCTATGCTGTGAAGTACCGGAGTCATGTATGGATGGAAGCATTGAAAGAAGGACGCGGGTGCCCGTTGACTGGTTCCCCTCCCGGCTTGTTCCCTGCACACAGGAGAATGCTTCAAATGCGTATTGTCCATGACTTGGGAGACACACTGCCTGACCCCAAGCCGTTCCCCGCCCGCCTTGCTGTTGTCTTGATTTCCGTCTTAAAAACACGAAGGCAGAGACGGATGCGAGACGGCGGGCAGCAGCATGAAGATTGCATAGCAGGTGGGAACTAGCAGACACAGCATGCCGCGGGCGACCGATGGGATGATGGCGTGTCAGTGTCGAGCGTCGAGACCATGGGCCGAGCCAGAGACAAAGAAATGCTTGCCGAACAATCCGTTCGTTGGATGAACCAAATCAGCGCACAGGCACTCCAAGGCGTGCCAGACCTGGATTGTTAAGACTCGACAAGGGGCCAGAGTTGTGGCACTTGCCTTGCTCGGTAGGCAGCAGTGAACCAGTCTCGAGGTATGGAACAAGGTGAGAATAGAGGTTGTGTGGCATGTTAATCCTGTGCCCCTTTGCTTCTGATGGAGGTGCCGATCCACCCGAGGACGACCATCACACGCCAATGCAATATACTTACTTCACAGTAGTCAGCGTCAGCTGAAAGCATGGAGCTGGTGGGCCAGAGGCCGGAATTCAAAGGGTAATGTCGAGGAAAAGAATTGATTGCTGGTCAGTCCTATAGATGAGGCGCCTATACTCCTCCTGCCTTCATAGTCGGCCGCTGCATGCTGCAGGTGCCGGGAGAGATTGGTGGTCCGTCCAACTTATGATTTAATGCGAGGCGTTATCGGCTATCGGGCGGGAACCGTCGGATGATTACGTGAAAGGAAAAGAAGTGACAGAATGTTGGTGAAGAAAAGTTTGTCGGACAAATCTGAGCTGATGCCCATCATCGACCCATGAAAGCTTATATCCAGAGGCTATTTGTTCGGTTGGTGGAGGATGGGAAAAAACATGATGGTTCAGATAGAAAGATGTATGCCCGATGTTTAATTGGCCGTAAACGAAGAGCCGACAAAGTCAACCCATTTTACCTATCTCGGTGCCGAAGGGACTGCGTTGGAAGCGCATCAGGCAACGTCGATACCTACGTTGGCGGGTATCCAATTTCCTATCACGGCCTGATGAATTCTGTGTATATCATGCGGGTGTCTTGCAGATATTGATTTGCACACTGGTATGAGACGAAACAGGGCCTCGATGACAGGCACGAGCAGGTCCGGCAAAGAGGTGCTGCGTGTATCGGGAAGCGAAGATGGATAGCACTGGTGTGCTTGTGTTCTGGCCGCCACCTCCTTCGACATTTCTGCCTTGCTTGTTCATTCAACAGGAGGCACCTTGGGCACCCCTTCCCGACAGATCGATATATAATACGTACCTACCCAGGGAGGCAGGTAGGTACCTTGCTTGCACCTCACCTCGCGTTTTGCAAGGAAGGCGGTAGGGGGCGGAGGCGCCTCAGGCCCTAAATATCCCCCAATCTGCGCAGCGACGAGGGTCCTCTGAACGCGATCTCGCTCGGCACCTTTGCTGGCAACTGCGACCGCCTCTCGTCATTAACCTCATCACCAAGGATCGACTGGCCAACCCAGCAGAGGCACCACGATGGCTGCTGACCCAAGATCTGCCCTCAGACTAAGAAGTCTAAGTCAGCGGATGCCTCTTGGCCAAGAACAAGGGACGATGACCCCACCCACCTTTTACTGGATTTAAAGATGGAGGGAGAATAGCGGCCAGCGAGAGCGGTGAAGAACCAAGTCCCATGCCCACGGTGGTTTACATTAGCATAGCACAGCCAGTCGCCAGTGCCCCGCGTCCGATCCTGAGCGAGACGGTAGGAGGGGGAGAGAGGGGCCTCAAGCAAAACTGTGGCCCCCCAAGGCTTTTGTCCAGCGCATCATCCTGGCCTGGCCAGCGGTTAGTCCGAGTTTGGCTCCTTGGGACGAGGAGCGCGCATCAGCGTCAGCACCGCCATCCGCACCAGTGCCAGATGCCATCTCAACGACAAGTCTTGCTGGCAGCGTGGGCGGCTGCTTGCGTGCTTGTCCGTTGCTGCGTCTCATTATTTTCCGCTATTGGTGAAAAGAGAGAGCGCAAGGTAGGAGACGAGAGAGGTCAATTGGAACTGTGATAACCAGACAAGGACATTGCACTGGATGGTTACGTACCCCCTGGATGGTGTCGTGAATTCACGCCCAGGCAGATTGGAAGCAAGCCAGCCGGGCTTGAGAGAACGAGAGCTCCAACCGAAGAGTAGCACCATTCTTCCTTCCGCCGCCATGGGCCTTTCATGGTCCGACAGGTACCTTGTTGCGTTGAAATACGGCGCCAGGCAGAGGGGTTTGGAGAACCATGGGTGGGCTTCTGCCTCTTCTGCGACCATGAGGGCATGACTGGGACATGGCGACCTTCCGGGTTAGGCCATGTCCTTCAGCCAACACTGCGCCAGACCGTGTCAAGGAGCCCGAGGATAACCGATAAGGCGCCATCCCACCAGTCTTGGAACAGTGAACTGAAGTACGACGGAGCGCCAGTCCCAATCCTCTGCAGGTATCAGTCAGCCTTGCAAACACTGAACTAACACGAGGGGAGAGGCGAACAGCCGGAGAATTGAAGCCCCCCTGATACGACTTTTTTATCGGACACCCTGCCCCCCTGTCTGAGTACCCGATGTCAATATTTCTGATAGAATCCTACCCATAGTCTTGGTACGATACGGATATATACAATGGCTTTGCTGCAACGCTGCTCAACCTTTAGCTACCCTCGTGCCCGGGGGTTGTCCTTATCCAACATTCGTCCATTCAGCCCCGAAAAAGACTAAAAGCGTGTGGCTCACGCTGGATATGTAGAGACCAAGAGGCCAGGAACTTCCTACAAAGGACCAAAGGATGGGAGCAAACACCTTGCTTATTTCCCTAGGTTTGCTAGTCAAACTAAACCCGACGGGAAACCAATTCTCGGGTGTTTCTTTTTGGGCCTGGTAGCAGAACCAGATAGACAGACAGAGGGGGAGTGAGAAAACGTTGACATTTCCCCTGTGCAAGGTTGTATTCCTGCAGCCTTCCATCGCCGACGGTTGACCACCATCCCCTCCCCTCTACTGACACCAACTGACACTCGACATTTTTCGCCTTACCTCATCTTCCAAATTATCTTATTGTTCTTTGTGCCCCTCCCTTCCCCCCCCCCCCCCCCCCCAAATTGCGGCCTGCTCTTGCTTCCTACTCAGCTCTTTCCTTCGCATCATCCCCAGACTGCCCTGCCTGCTCATTCGAAGGAACCCCGCAAGGTACTGCTGCTGCTCCTGTTGCTACCTCTACTACTACCATCTATTACTTGCAAGTTACTGCCTACCCTCCCCCTTCTAATACCGGTATTCCTTTGCCTTGCTTCCACTTTCCTGCGTTTGCTCTTCGCTGCTACGTACATCAAGACCACGGCCGAGGCCATCGCTCAAAAAAAAAAAAAAAAAAAAAAAAAAGCCGACATCTACTTGTGACCCTTACTTGCCGTCCCTGGCTGGGTCCCTAACCCCCGTCCCCGTCATCGCCTATTTTTCACTCGTTGCTCCCCTGTCTCGCCTTACTTACTCTTACCGACTTTACTTAGCCGTATCTTCTCTCCCCTACTTTGGTTGTCCTCCACCTCCTCCTCCTACTCTCGCCTGCCCGCGACCAACCACACACACGACTGGACCGCGCTCCCTGCTCTGCTTCTATTACTGCACGCACCCAATCCACGCCTTTATTCCTACTCTCTCCCCTGT